AATAGGTGTAGACCTTAGGCCTGCAACATATGATAAAAATAGCATCTCAAGAATGAGATAGAAATGTATAGAAATGCATAGATCATATGTAGAATGATTGGGGTTGCATGATATATCATCACATGATGTTGGATCATGTGACCTCCAGTTCAACAGATTATTCTATTAATATATTGTTACGCCTGGGTATTCGGGCAAGAGCTCTGTGACTGTTAGCTGTCTTGCGTTGCGGTCCTACTATACCTGAGCAATGAATCCGAAGTGATTCCCAATATAATCCTATCCAGGATCCGATAGTATGACCTAATCCAAGGTCCAACAAGGTACGACAATGTTCCGCGAGTAGCTTGAGTCCAAAGGCCAGGCCTACTAAGTATATATACTCAGTAGTTAAGGAAGTGCAAACAAGTCGATTACTAACTTGATACTAAAGATATATCCTAAGTAATAATAATAATTAATTATGAAGAACTAAACTAAGTATATGAATGAGTGTCCTTATATATCTATCCTTGGGATATAGTGGTAACTGGGCTAGTATACCAGTGGTATACATGTGGTTTACTGTTAACTAATTAAGTCAGTATCTTATAGATCCCTAAGATATTTATCTCAGAGCTTCAAAACAGCTCCTGTACTATATAAAAGAAACTATTGGCTATAGTATTATATATAGTGTAAAGGAGAGTAATAAGACACTAGTAGGCTACTTAGATTTATTATATAGGAATACTATAAACTATTACTTAATAAGTACTTATATATTTATAATAGCAGGTAAACCAATTAGTTGATATAGCAGAAAGCAATCTATCACTGCTATATCTATTACTAAGGCAGAATATATCACAGCTACAGAGATATTAAAGCAGGCTATCTGAATCAGATATTTCTTAGCAGCTATCCAGAAGTGTCTGTTACGCCTGGGTATTCGGGCAAGAGCTCTATGGGTGTTAGCTGCCTTGCGTTGCGAGACTACCTTACCTAGGTAGTGAATCCGAAGTGGTTCCAAGTATGATCCTATCCAGGATCCAACGATATGACCTAAACCGAGGTACGACAATGTGCGACAATGCTTCCGCGAGTAGCTCGAGTCCAAAAGGCCAGGCCTACTAAGTACGTATACTCAGTAGTTAAGGAAGTGCGAACGAGTTGATTACTAACTTGATACCAAAGGTGTATCCTAAGTAACAATTGTAATTGGTCACGAAGAACTAAGCTAAGTACATGAAATGAGTGTCCTTATATATTCGTCCTGTCATGGTATATCCTTATACCATGGTATACACTTTATACCATATACCGTAGTCCTTCCTGTATACCATCCGGTATACCCTGTCACGTGATTCGGGGTTCTTCCTACCCTTTCTGGGTAGTTCGTCTTGTCTTCCCGTCACACTAGTCTTATCGCTCTTTTCTGCCTTGCGCGTCCGCTTTCTCCGATAAGACACGCTAGACAAGGGTCTGTAACAGTGTCCTAAAGAGCTAACTAATATAGGGGTTAATAGTAAACTACTAACCTGATTAGAAATCAATAATTAAGGTGCTTTGGTATTAGTATCTAATCCAGTTAATCATCTATATAGTAAGCATATATATATATAATATTATACTATTTATGATTTTATTAAGTATGGCAATATTAAGCCATTCTATATATCTATATCTGAAATGATTGCAGATGGACTGACCAAGGCAACTAAGGCTAATAGCTTAAAGTAATTAGTTAGAATGCTTCAGCTGAAGTTGAAATAAGGTTCTATAATATAATATCAAGATTCTCAGACTAATAAGATAAAGGCGTTCAACACCTCTATATATCAGTTCTATGTTTTTGCTTTATTTCCTATTTAGGAAGCTAGTATAGCTTCATTTCATTCGTTTCGGGATATTGAACAAAGGGGAGTGATATGAATCTATACAAGACATGTGATCGCTCTAGTGGCTTGGCCGGATCACCAACTCTTCAGCCCCTGAAGGCTTTACCCATTAGAAGGAGATAGAGGAGAGAAGAAGCAGTCAAGATAGTTGATATAGTCGTCCATAGAATAGAGCACCTATCCGAATGGCATCCGGTCTTCAGTAGGCTACGTACGTGTAGCTGATACAGCCTCATTCTGCCCATCTTTCCCCTGAGATCACAACAAAGGGAAGCCGACGTCACCAACGTGCCGAAGCTCCCGTGTCGCGACATTCTTACCGAATCGGTGTTAGTGAGAAATTGCCTATGACTTTGATAGTGTGCTTTCCGTCCGGAATATCCGACCCGACAACAGGACGGAAGGCTTGCACTATGAGTAGTCAAAAAAAGTCCCATATTCGGCAGACTTCCCTCACTTCATTTGTTACCGCCTTTATCACATATACCGGAAGAAACCTCTTGACCTGTTCGCATCAAAGATTCACTCCAGTCCACCGCCACCGCGAGTAGCGACCTGGTTCTGAGCATCTCAACTGAACTGACGTCTGCCAATACCAACATGCCTATCGATCTAAGGCGCAAGATGAGTCGGTTCGTCCAGTACATCAACTCGAATGATGAAAGAATTGTCAAGCAAGTCGTCTCCGATTCAGCTGAATTCCATGTCCCATTCAGCGACACGCCTCTCAAGGGATGAGCGGGCTATACGCAAATTCTTGGACTCATGCGGGGGGTGCTTATCGCGCGATATTGACTGGTCGATTGATGAGACGGTTATTCAAAGGAATAAGTTGGTAGCACAATGCACCATACGGGGCACCCACCAGGGGGGGGAATTCTGCCATGCCTGCTTCCGGAAAGCAGAGTAAGACTTGCAAATGAACATGTACCGATTCGAAAGTGGAAAAATTGTTGAAGAGCGCGGACTTCCGGACTTGTTCGCGACGATGGTTCAAATATGGGCGATCAAACCCCCTTAGCCCCCCTAACTCGGAATTTACTTCTATAGCCATTTAAGGCTACATGTCGGTTGAAATCTAGATGGACTACGGCTTTTCGCTAGTAATTCTTTAGCCAAGAGAGAAAGATGTTTCTCGCATAAAATAGTCCGCCTCCCATTCCAAGCACAAACTATATAATGTCAACGGACTACAAATCTCAGTAAGCCTCTGATCAGACACTTAAGCGCTTTTATATGCAAGGTACCTTCCTCCGTCCTTGCACGCTACTCGGGGATTGATAGCTGAGGATTCCTTCCGACCCAGTCGCTTTGGGAAGATTAAGGATCCATGTACAGATCAAAAATCCGCTACAACCTCTGCTGCAACTCGCTCACCGGAGCGGATGGCCCCATCCATATAGCCGGTCCAATAAGGAGCGGTCTCAGTGCCAGCAAAGTGAATTCTGGCGGCCGGGTTCCGTAAGGATGGTCCGTACTTCGAGAGAAGCCCAGGAGGACAATAGGCAACAGGACCACCACGTGAAAACTCCTCGAGATCCCATCGCTGTAGCAATATCTGGCTGACATTGGCCGCCTGGGGTCCGAAAAAGTTGATCAGATCCCTTGTAACGTGCCTTTTGATTTCGGCTTCTGAGACCCCGTCGAGGGCGCGCATCTCATCGGCTTCAATAAACCCCATGATGGAGCCAAAGCCCTCACTAGCTGGGGTGTTATCGTATGTCGCTCGGATAACACCGGTATCGCTCTGGACCTGTCCGTTGAACCCTAGTTCTCTCCACCATGGTCTGGGATAAATTGCGATGGCCTTCCCAATGGAGCCCATGGGCATGCGCTGAGTGAGCTGATCCCGAGCCGCCGGGAGTAATGGATCATAGGAGATCCGGCCTGCCATCGGGGGGGACATGGCGATGATGACGTGTCTGGCCGTTACTTTGACCTGGTCAGACCTGACACTGTAACGGCCATCCTGTAGCTTAACCTCCCGTACTGGCGAATTCAGCAAGATGTTTCCTCGCCCCAGTCTCTCCGCCAGTTTCTCCGCCAACAGTTGAGTGCCACCATCAACTCGACTATCCTGGGCGGCTCCCTTGCTACCTATAAGCCGGGTAATGGTCCCAGGGGTTGTTTGGTTTCCTGCGGCAGCTATGTACGACAGCATATAGAGTAGGGACGGCTCCTCCGTCTCCGTGGAAAGGATAGATCGAATGGCAGTGTCGAAGAGCAACCGAGAATCTTGTAGACCGATCCGAGATTCAAAAAAAGATTTCAGTGTCATGCTATCCCACAGCAAAGCATTGCCATGTTCCCAGGGAGCATTAACATCTAGTTCACTCGCCAAAGCATCGAGTTCGGTCATGAGGCTCGCAAGCTCTTCCTGGGCTTCCGAGCTCACCGGAGGCAGTCCACCCGTGGCAAGATCCGCGTCATAAGGAGTAACGGTGCCGTTTCGATATAGGATTGCTTTACCAGTTGTGTATGTTGGGTAAGTTGTCAGGCCAAGTTCATCTGCGAGAGCGAGCACACGGTCCTGGGTCGGCCCAACGAACTCGGCACCAAGCTCCTGGACCTCTCCATTCGCAAGGTGTGCATTCAGTACGCGGCCACCCACACGAGAACGCGCTTCAAGGATAAGGAAAGTTTTGCCTGCTTTTGCAATGTCCTTGGCTGCGGCTAATCCTGACAAGCCGGCGCCAATGATAGCAACATCAACGTCTCGAGTGCTCGCTAGGGACGCCGCGAGGAAGGCGATAATAGCAATGGAAAGGTGCAAATGCATTAGGTAATTTTCTTGCAAGTCCGTAGTGTAAAAATATGGCTTGAGTAATGCAAGTGCGTGATAGAATAAGAAACAATGGTGGTTTTGTTCCTGCGAACATCCCTTTATATATCCAGAGCAACCCCTTCTCTCCGCTTCACTTTTCTTCTCCCGTACACCCTGGCCACGGAACACTCGGTCTTCAGTATCGTGCTGATGCTGCCTATAGTGGAAACCTTAAGTTCCGAAATCCGAGGCTTGTTATACGAGGAGGACCGAGACACCGCTCCCAATGGAGCAACAATACCGCGAAAGCCGATCCTTGAGCTCCTTGCCGAAGTTGCTGTTTTACTCATTTTTACTTACTATATCACAGTAAAGGGTTATAGCAGGTAATGTTAATGTTTGGAGGGCATGCAGTTTTCCTCGAAACATCGTTCCTCGTTTCTTCGCGTCAACAGTAAAGATGTTATTTCCTGCGTCTCTATTTTGCAATATAGGGAAAACGCTAGGCAACAGAGGCTCACTACTTGAGCTTGTTTCCACCAACGGATAGGTAGTAACAAGCATAGAGTTATCCATACATATGGGTCTTCACATGGCAAGTGAGGAGGATACAATACAATAGTACATCACATAGAACAGAACTCAAGACTCGGTCGGTGTCGCCATATGGTCTGGCAGTCCACAGAGAGTGCAAACTATTCAAGCGTCTCACCACCCATCAATAGTATACTTTGCCTGCCCTACCCACGCTTTCTTCAGATCCTGCTCCAACTTACCTGCCACAGCAAATCCCCTGGCCTTCAGAGTTGCCACAAAGCCAAGCGCCCGAGCTCTTTCTTGTGTTGTTCTCATCTCAAGGCCCACAATATTCATGATAGGGACATAAAGAAGACCTTCAAAATCCGCGCTGTTCATTATACTTCTTTCCGCATGGGAAAAAGCCTGCTTTGCCTGGTGATATATAAGATCGTCAGGCATAACAGGAAGACTACAGCCAAGATAGGTCCAGGCCGGATGGTCAAATTGTCTAGATAACCCAGCAAGTGACCATTGGTAATATGGAACCAGGGCCGGTATCCATGGCTCAATGGAAGATACCTGTGGATCAGTGCACGAAAGAACTGTAGCGATAATGGCACGTTGCAATTTGGAAGCACAACAGACAATTTCGATACCGCTGATAATATGCTCCAACGGCAGATTTCCGTATGCTTTCCGCCATGGGGGGCGACTGTCGATATCCAGCGCACTGCAGCTCTCCTTCAGATACAGCTCTTCACTGTCCTTGACCCAGCGTATTGACCTATGAGCAACTAAGTAATGGGCCACCGTACTCTAAACAAAATTTTCGACCTTACCGGCTTTGTAAGCGAGCCCATGTTTCCAGGTGCATCGCCAGCAGTGCCATATTCTCTTCTACACTGGAGGGTGAAGTGTTCCCAGAAGGCACGTCTGATCTCGCACAGGTTAGTGCAGGCGGTGGCATCGGTAGGTCTTCGCCAAAACAGACGGCCCGAGCAGCAACACTGATTCGTGCGAACCAATACAGTGACCTTCCCAGATGTGACAGCGTCCGGGTAACATCGCCCGTGCATTGAGATTGCTTTTTGTATTTTGCCAGTAAGCGATCGCCAGCCCTTGCCGCTCTCATCCAAGATGAGCTGCTGCCAGGTCAGTGTTCTGGGTGCAGGGTTGTGGTGACAAGTACGTACCTCGACGAGGCTTAAGAGACAGGAGGATACAAGGCCTGCTGTCGTCAATTTCGTGTCCAGCATGTTGAGCTCCATAAGGGCTTGGTGCTGGAGCCGGTGCAGGGACTCTCGTAGATCATATGTCCGACGGTGGGACATATGCAGAAGATACGTTTTCCCAACCAGGAACACCACGTCCTGGACTAGCTTGTTTTCCTCGAGTATGGCACAAATAGAGTCAAACGAGAAAACGGATACCAGGGGAGATAGAGAACAATGTATGGAATTGAAAAATATATTGCTAAACATGCACGGGTCGGTAGATAAGCGTAATTTTGGTGAAACAACTGTCGGTCGTGCAGGATGGGAAACGAAAACTACGTTACCAGGCTTCCCCGGAGAAGAACAGACAACGCCTCGTTGGGTGCAGCATTGACATGGTCGGCGACCATCGCACTATCCTCATCTCCGGGTTAGCGAGTAGTTCATCGGAGACTAACAATATGCATGCAGACATCTCCTACTTTCAGATGCGCCATGCGACAGCGCAAACATCGATGGCCTCCCCATCGCCCGTCATTGGATCCACAGGGCATCGTAAATGGTACTGTGAAAACATCAGCATCGAGGGGAAAAAGCTCAGGGACCGTTGGAGAGCCGGAATGATGCAAGAAAATTAATTTCTCACTCCATCAACCTCTCAGACAGATTTGCCCAGGTTTAAGGGGAAGTCATGCGGTGGCGTCAGTGGTTGAGCTGCTGCCTTTTATCCCGTCGGGGTCTAGGTCCAGAGACAACCCGTGCCGGGGGGCCGGCGTCGCGACATATTTCCTGGAGACGGTCTAGGGAGAAAACTCTAGGGCGATCATTGAGCCCTGGGACTCTCGGTTGCAACTTAGTCTCTACCATATCAGAGGGCTCCACAGCTCAGCCACCGGACAGTACCAGAAACCAATTAGATAATGTACCAGTATTTTCTAGTCCACAGAATATTATCACTGTCCAACGACTGTCAACAGTCTGAACCTCCGTGCCAATACTGCCACGCTGTAGTGATAGCGTGAGAGTCGCAAAGATTGCGCTCCATGCGTTGGCTGAGGTGAAGCTTCGGGGCCTCGAGAATCACATGAACGTTATCAATCTCAATAGCTTGTAGCTCCAGAACTACCGGACCAGTCTCGGCAGATCAACCTCAGCGTCGCCGAACCCGTGGAAGCGTGAAATAACCCAAGCTCCTCGGAACCACGCTCATATAGTGTAGAGTGCTGTTGTCGTATTTCGTCATGCTTGAGGCGGACAATCTAGACAGAGGTGTCTCAAGGATCAGGTTTCAGTTAACCTTGATAGACTTCACAATTATCCAGCGATTCTTCTATGTCCTCTATATCATCTCCTATAATATATAAACTAGCCCCGAGTAGCAAGCCGAAACATGCGCCTTGACATCAAGCCACAACGCAGTTCCATGAAGGACCCTACCTGTTCCACTGTGCCCGCCTGGGTCAAGAAGCCAAGCATAGTCAGCACACCAGCAGTCTCTAGATGTCACGTGTAATTGTAGGCATTTCATGGCTGAGTGATGCAAAGGCTTCGTTGATCGACCCCATGTTTCGCTCACAGAACTCCCAGACGGCATCAGCCAAGCGGGATGGAAGACATTGAACACACCCACTGCTGCAACCATCATAGCGCTATCCAAGACGATAAAATACTTCTCGTGTGTGATAAGGTATCCACTCCAACCCTGCAGCAGCTCAACAGTCCGATAAATACTTCGAATATAGATGAATGCCACGGAAGCAGAAGTAGCAGCCACCAGCCATTTGACTTGACTTGTCATCATACAACGCAACTTAAGACGGACAACGCGACGAGAGAAGTACCGGCACAAATTATGAACATCGTGATTGCTGCCATTTGGAAGATTATGCCCCCCACCATTATATCCGTTCCCAGCTTCGTATCTCCTCTTGGATCCGAGAGTGCCGCCGAGGCAAGGGCGCCACCAGCTGCCTGGACAATCAACGATATCAGATGCGCAGGTGCAGAATATCCAAAGGTACGTCTGAGGGCTAAGCAGAGACGATTCCTCCCCGAAAAAAAGTATCAGTCGGCCCAGTATTATATATATTCCGGCAGTGAAGAAAGTGGGTGCTGGAAGAAAATTAGGTTAGAATAACTGTAGGAACCTTATATCTCACTATATACCTGTGATCAATGTGGCAATCTGGATTTTAAAATGTTTCCATTTCATAAGGGCAAATGGCAGACCAAGCCCGAGCGGCCGGGCCCATCCAATTACCTCCGCCACGGGAACGTAGAATGATCTGTCAGATAAAGACAAATCCTGTATATATCAAAAGATACAAGGAGTAGATGCTTACCCAAACACCCAATTGAGAAGACGCAGCCCCACCACATTCGAGTGCAGGAGGATTGCAAAGCATGAGCGATCATAGAAGTTCCGAAAAGCGTACAAAGCTATTCCTGCAGCTAGGGATGGGACGGAGTCGTAAGGAGTCGGAATGCCTGCGACATAAGGATGGCAAGTTCCATCAAATGAGCCTGCCGCCATCCTTGGCATATATCTCCCCCGACGTGGAAAGAGAGTGGCAGCACGAAGACAAGGTGAAGTACGACAGATTATCCTGCGGGAGAAACGATGCTTTATATACTCCCAAAGAGAGGATGGCATACTGGAAACCTATCCTTCACCAGTAGATTACGTCGCTGGGGTCTGAGCTCATAAACTGGACAGTCGCCATCTCATTCGCACCATCCGAAACCCGGGACGTCACCAGAGAAGCGATTCCTAGCAAGTCGGACAAGCAGCAGCTCTAGTGGTCAGCACCAATCAATGAATCCGTTCAGCGCGGAGATCTCGCGAGGTCTTTACCTAGTCGGGTTTAGGGCGGAGTTTATCGGCGGAGACTTGCGGATCTAGATTCTATGACTGGAATAGGCACAAATGAAGTGCACAGGTATGAACAGCAACACCAGTATCCGTTGCTTGGCAATCCAGCCTATCATTCGTTGAGACCACAGCCAAAGGCAGCGGACCGGATAACATCCGAACAAACAGTCGCTCTTGTACCCGCCACCTTCAACCAATTTCTAGCCGCTCAATGCAATATTGAGACTTGCGCATTCCCTTGCGAGTATGGTCGCCAATCATGGCCTTATCCCGCCTGGCAGTTCGCAAGCCATTCCGCCTCGTATTTACCTGATTCGAATCGGCCAAGAGACCCTGATGAACTTCTGCCTCTAATGGTCCAAACGGAATAATCTCTCCATTTAACGCTGAACCATCGTGCTGGTTTCGGGGAAGCCTCCGAATCGTAGGGAGCAAGATAAAAGGTCTGATCTTTACATGGCTACAGTACTACACATTCGACGCTATCGGAGAGATAACATGCGGAAAAGCATCTCTGGATTTTTTGAGAGGGGGAGGACGTTGGTGGGATCATTGAAGCGCTCCAAAAAGTAGTGGACTATAATGCTATCATTAGGCAGATTCCACAGCTTGATCTCTGGCTCGAAATTTCCTGCCTGGGCGGGGCTGAAGCAGCCAACAGGAGCGGTTGCGCAGTTCGCCTACCAGCAGCTCGTGTCTCGACTTCCCTATTGAAGTCGAGAAAACAATGCTGATGCATTAACAACATTCACTTTCAACACTTGCTCTTCAGTTAGGCCTGATGAATCGAGCGCATTGGTAAAAAAATTGATGGTTTCGGGTGGGCAGTAAGGGAAATCGCTGCCGTAAAGAATGCGCTCAGGACCTGCGAACTTCAGGAGAAATTGGATCGCCTCGGAACTGCTCTGCGCGACGTCAAAGTAGAATTTCCGGGCCTCGGCAAGAAATTCTTCAGGGGCCATTGTAGAAAGCTTTGAGTGTGATAGAAGGACTGCGGGTCGGGTGGCAATGAAGGGAAGCGTACCGCCCGAATGAGAGAGTATGACTTTGCTATTCGGATGCCGCTGGAGCACCCTGGAGGTGATAAGATCAACAGCGCAGCGAGTTGTTTCGTGAGGGTATTCAATCATAGGCGCAGGCAAGACCGGGTTTCTCGGGCCCGTTCCTGCCCCCAGTGCAGGGTGAATAAATACAACAGCCTTTCGCCTTCCGAGTTCGGCCCATAACGGTCTAAATGCGTCATGGCCAAGATAGTGGCCCTCACTTCCATAGCTTGTGAATAGAGTTACGCCATCGGCGTTCAGCTGATCCAGAGCGTATGACAGCTCCGACAGCGCCATGTTCATGTCCTTCAGCGGAGACGGGATCGTAGCGAAAAAGCCGTACTGTTGCGGGTTCTGATCTCTAAGGCTTGCTGCCCACTCGTTACAGCCCCTTGCTATCCTAGCTGCCTCCAGTCCCTCCGCAATATCGGGTCCGGGAGCTGTAACAGAAAGAATTGCAGTACGAATGTTATGCTTCTGGCACAAAACTCTGTCATTGTCGAGAGACCATTCGGGGGTTTTCCAACCAGATGGATCGCCACCAGCTGCCTCTAGTGCTATTCCGCAAACATCAGCTTATATATTTCTCGTATTCTTGCTGCTTGTCGCTTACCTTCAACATAGATTGGAGGAAGATAATGGTGATGGACATCGATCCTAGAAGTTGAAGGCGGCATGGTAGAACAATCACAGACTTTCCAGTATCGCTCAACGCAAGCAGGTTATTCTATTAGGGTCGTACTAAACGATGTTGTCTCATTGATATTGCGTTATTGTTAAGAGCGTTAAATAGGACTATATTTGCGGCAATATCGGCACGCGGGTCTTCGGAATGTACTTCGATAAGTTAGTGATTGTCTAAAATTAGGGGGTGCAAAGAGGACAAAGTAGACAAACACAGTAGAGGGTCATGCAAACACGCGCCTCCTGTCCTAGTTACGTAGTACATTGCGGGATCGGAAAGCGGGCAGAGTAACTTGCCATGGATCGGAACGAACTTCGGATGCTTCAGAATCAGTCTTCAGTGCTATACAGCCATGACATCCGAGACACCACCCACGAAGGTGGGTGAGAGTGCAAAAATTAAAGTTGAAACACTCCGCAGCTTACTGGAACCGTGGCAGTACTTGGTACCATTGGCGCACAGATAAAGCTGTTGCAGGAGCAAGTGGATCAAAACGGGACCAATACGAACTCTTTTAGGGGAAATGCCCGACTACGCTAGGCTACTTGCTACTAACTTAGTACTGAAGGGTGCAAAGGGCACGAACCGAACACAGTCCCGGTGGCAAGCAAAGCCCACCCACGGAAACTGGGCGTAATGCTAGCTCTAGAGAGCAATACATAACTCTCAGATAATCCCGCCTACGGCCATCATATGTCATAAGCTCGGAAAAGTTGACCATCTGTACTCCTTTGCCTACAGCCCCTAGTGATCGATCATGCCTTCTCTTGATGTCCCGGGAGCCTCAATCAACTACGAGATCTTTGGAAGCGGTCCTCTCTTGCTCTGCATACCAGGTGCAGACGGACGTGGATCTGTATTCCACGAGGCAGCAAAAGCCGCATCCGACAAGTTCTCGGTCGTGTGTTGGGACCGCCGCGGATACTCCAAAAGCCTGCTTCGTGGTCCACAAAATCTTCGCTCCCGTCTCGAGACAGATGCAGATGATGCTGAACGTCTGATTTCCCACCTTAGTTCGGATGGCGCTTATGTCTTTGGAACTTCATCTGGTGCCATTGTGACTCTGATGTTACTAAGCCGACACTCGGAAGTGGTCAAGACAGCAATCGTGCACGAGCCGCCTGCCTTCACGGTGCTCCCAGATGATCTTCGTCAGCAGGCAGCTGGATTCATTCAGCAGATATACGATACATATCGCAGTGAGGGACCTCAGAGTGCAATGGAAGTCTTTACGTCCGGACTTTCCGATGGCAAGGAGGCCGAAGTCATGCGATCTTGCATTTCGACAAGCCACGGCGATGAGATCCGCGCCAACAGCCTTTGGTGGTTTGAATTCGAGCTGAGACAATACACAAGTGCAGTTCTTCACATGGATTCGATTCTCACCGTCAAAGAAAAGGTTATGATCGCTGTGGGTGTGGACTCGGCTGGCTTAGGCGTGGCGCCAGCTTCAATTATTGCAGGTCAGCTGGGAAAGGAATATATCACAATCCCAGGTGGCCATGTGAGCTACATGGTCTCACCAGAATCTTTTATCACAGTGTTTCAAGTAGCCCTTTCTTGTCAGATAATTGGATGTCCGTCGTGTATTGTGGAACCTCCCGTAGCTTTTGCCCAGGCTTGTGGAAAAGGGCACCCCAGCATTGCCGCCGTTTTGCAACCAACATATAAGATTATGCCTGACTAGCTTGGCTCCCCTCCACCGGGGGGAGCACTCCTTGCTAGACGATTGCATCACACCATGTCAGTTCAGTACAGTAGAGCCAGGAGGACCTCGTTACAAGGAAAAACTCTGAAAATCCGATTTTCGAAATATCCAATTAGCACAACAGCTCGATGCTGAATGTTCAACCAACCTTGAACGGATCCAAGAACTAGGAATTGTTGCAAAGGTGGTGAAACCACGCTTCGGGATCGTCGTCCACCGCACTTCGACAGAGGGATTGGACACTGAAGAGGACAAACAACAGGCGGTCAACAAGATCTTGGAAGAGAACGCAGCCCGAGCACACCAGACCTTGTATGGTAGAAGAACCCGAGTGGAGGTTGCCTAACGGAGACGAGTAAGAGGCGAAATCCCGTTCCGGTACAAACCATATAAACACTGGAGCTCGGGAATTCCGAGTGGCAATGCACTTAAACGTCTCTCAGGTCAGCAACCCCACCCCCTTTGGCAATATACCGAAGGGGCGGGTCAGCTAGCCAGACGGCTATTGGTGGTGGACCACCAGAAAAAGAAGGCAATCTTTGCCTGGATCTGCGAGTGCAAACGTACCAAAACGAACGATGTATGCAAACTTATGAAAACGAACAATCTAGATCTCCTCATGTTTGCAGGTGTACGGATCATACTTTGGACCATTCGAGTCTAGATATAAAAGTAGCCTCGTTCTCCCGCTCGATCAACCATGGCCTAACAGAAAACTTTTTCGGAAGAGAAGAAACCCGCAATCAAAGGTGAATTACCTTATCCCTTACTCATTCATAGCAAACACACCTGCATTGTGATCCATCCTCCTTGGGTCCCGACCGAGCTATGTGTCTAAGACCAAGTCAGAGCGGAGTCTTTCATCTTTCTGGAGTCTATGCAGCGTTACTAATTCTCGGTCTTCAGAAGCTTGACAAAGACAAGGGTGCCTCTGCCTCACATTCTACGATCTTATAAGAACGGGATCACTACGAGTGAGTCAGAATTGGAGTCAGCCTTTTCTGTTCAATCGGGTGGAATAAAATCTAACTTACATCTAAAGCAACATAATGGCGAGTCTGCTGCTGCAAAGGATGCGTCGATTCGTTGAATTTATCAATTCAGGTGATGAAACTATAGGACAAGAAGTAGTTTCCGAAGCCGCGGTCTTCCACGTTCCGTTCTCGGATACTCCCTTGAGGGGGTTGCTTGGATACATGCAAATTCTCGGCATAATGCGCTCAGCCTACCCAGATATCCAGTGGACACTTGATGATACTGTCATCGAGGATAATAGAGTTGTAGCGCAGTTCACGCTGCGTGGAACTCACGAAGGCGAATTCCTTGGTGTCCCGGCCTCGGGAAAGAAAATCCAGGCGCGAGCTATGAACATCTATCGATTCTCAGATGGGATGATTGTGGAGGAGACTGGCTTGCCCGATCTGTTTGGGATGATGCTGCAAATTGGGGGCCTGAAGCCACCGGCTTCTCATTAGGCCATTTCTAGGAACTCTAAGAATGTCACTTAGATTTAGGGCGTATCTAATTGACTGTTCTATATGTATGTACGAACATCATATACTGTTTTAAAATAGCTTTAACACCAGTGGCAAGAGAGTGAATAGATGGATGGCGGCCAGATGGGTGCAACGGACCTGGTTGAATACATCCATCAACGTGACTTCCTCGTTAGGCGCATACTTCTGGAGCAAGTTCGTTATTCCCATCCTCTGCGTTCTGTCAGTGATGGTTCCCATAGTGCTGGAACATTGCCTACCGCAGCTTCTACCGCGTGCCTATACTGGGAGTCAACAAACACCAATGCCACAGCTTTATCTCCTAGCAAAACCAGGCGCTTATTTCGGTTTCGTTGCATAGCTTCCTCAATAATGTGTCTGCCTTCAAAAGTGTACCCAAGTGCCCCCTCAATAAAATCCTTAGAGTTGTTGGTTCTCCACATCGTGAAGGACTTCGTCAGTCTTTGCCGATTGTTAGGTTCCGGAAGCAATCGGACAGTGGCACACGTCTCCCAGCTGCCTTCTCAAGGTTTGTTGAAAAGCGGAGGAAGGCGTTTTGTTGGGCGGATAGATTGGATAATAACTCTCCTGTCTCATCTCGAGAGAAGGACAGGTTTAAATCTTTAAGAAAGCTGAAGAAAATATCGTATAGAGGAGCCATATGACGGGGCGTGTTCGCTCCTTTTGACAGATATTGCAGTTCATAGTATCCTCTTGGATCGCTGCTTCTGTAGTTCTTCCGCGGCGTTTGTGGGATAGTCGAAATAGTGAACCAGGTTTCAAAGTGACTGAGTAATAGTTGAGAAATCCGGCCGTTATTAGGACTCTCTGCATATTTCTCTCGGATTTCGGCAAGGAAAAGCGATGCGTCAGCACAATTCCAGGACAGATTATCGCCAACGAGCATTTCTAGAAATATGTCTGAGTCGAGTTTGGACCTGAAATAGTCCAGATTGGAGAAATTCCGCTGGATTGCAGTGAGAATAGCAATCCAACGATTCTCATCAATAGTGGGCCATCGGGGCTTTGAATAGTCTGTAGCCAGTCAGTATAAGAGATACTGTACAATATTCTGTGCCTTGTCCCTTACTAATTAGCTCTCTGGCGAGGTTGACGCACTGTGAGCGCAATTTGCTCATCCATTCTTCTTCCTCCCATGCCATTGATAGATGAGAAAAAGCTTTCACATATTCCAGGAGAAGTACTGCGGAAACAACTGTAGCTTTGCTGATAGTGGACGACGTAGCTAGGATGGAATGCGTTCAATCGCATAGTGGTGCAATCATCGGTGATTCGAAGTTTCGGCTCCGCAAAAGCTTTCCCCACTCCTATGCTCCGCAACTCCTGGGCAAGAGATTCGTTTGAAGGGCTCCGATAAGAACACAAGACGACATCTGGCGCCTTCAGTTTAACCATCTGGCTGAACGCATGCTCAGCGTCCTTCACAAGTTCTGCGTCGTCTGAGCCTTCCGGGCAGTACGGCAGAGTATCAAATGCACTGATGTCGTCGAGGGTCATTTGCCCACCACTAGCAACAAGCACTAGTTGTTGTATGGCTTCTGTCGTGCGGCAGGCAGACGAATCCGCTGTATAGCCGTTATGAAATGTTTGATTTACCGGAGGCCGGTATAAGGCGATTAGAAGACCTCCTTTTGTCCCCGGCCCTGCGAGCTCCAGACCGTGATTAAGTTCATCGGTTGGAATTGGCTCTTCGCTTTCGACGCATAACGAAGTCCTTCCGAAATTTTCGAGGGTAACAAGGTGCGAGCTCTCGCAATTTTTTCGCGCCTCCTAGAAATGAAGCTATTCAATCACCAGCCATACCACCAAAAATGCCTAAATCATCAAAAGCGAAGGTGGAGCAGGAAGGGAGGGTCCTATTAGCTATATCAGCTTTAAAAAAACAAGAAATCAGCAGTATTCGTGAAGCTGCAGGTATTTTTAATGTGCCCAATACAACGCTTCAACGACGCCTAAAGGATTAAACTTTTTACACTGAAGTACGCGCCAATGGCCATAAATTGACTCAAAATAAGGAGGATTCATTAGTACACTGGATTTTATCATTAGATCAATGTGGAGCACCTCCCCGGCCTACGCACATATGAGAAATGGCCAATACTCTACTAGTTAAGCGTGGTGACCCTATACCTACTACCGTAGGTGAGAAATGGGTATATAACTTAGTTCAACGCAGAGATGAGCTAAAATCGCGTTTCTCTTGTCGCTACAGCTATCAACGCGCTAAATATGAGGATCCTAAGCTTCTACATGAGTGGTTTAAGCGCGTACAGATCACTATAATGCAGTATGGCATTCAACCGGACGATATCTATAATTTTGATGAAACTGGCTTTGCAATGGGCTTAATATCTACTACTAAAGTAGTTACCCGAGCTGAGTTAGCTGGTAGGCCATTTCTACTGCAGCCAGGGAACCGGGAATGGGCTACTTCTATTGAGTGTATTGGCCCTAGGGGACCTCTTCCACCTTGTATGTATTATCTTTTAAGGCAAGGTCCACGTTGAGGGCTGGTATGAGATGGGTCTACCACTGGACTGGCGTATAGAAATGAGTGCAAATGGCTGGACTATTGATGAGATAGGTCTATATTGGCTACAGCATGTATTTATACCTGCTACAAGCTGGACTGTTGGTCGATATCGCCTTTTAATACTTGATGGCCACGGCAGTCATTTAACGTCTTAATTTGACGATATATGCAGTCAAAACAATATTATACCTCTCTGTATGCCTGCTCATTCATCTCACCTACTTCAGCCGCTTGATATAGGCTGTTTTGGGCCTCTGAAACGCGCGTACGGACAGCTAGTTGAGAATAGGATGAGATTAGGCTTCAATTATATTGATAAACTTGACTTTCTTAAGGCCTTTCCTCAGGCGAGAGCTCAGATATATACTACTGGTAATATCTGCAGTGGTTTCTCAGCTACTGGGCTTATTCCTTTTAATCCTGAGCGCGTACTATCTCAGCTTAATATTATGCTATAGATAACATCTCCAGGCAGTAGATCTAGTAGTAGATCTACTAATTCAGAGCCTAAAACACCTCATAATCTAAAGCAACTACAAAAGCAGGAAGCTACTTTGAAGAAGCTGCTTAGAGCTCATACAGAGAGCCCTAACTCACCTACTAAGGCTGTAATAAAACAGCTTGTTAAAGGCTGTGAACTAGCTCTAAATGAAGCTACTATTGCAAGGCAGGAAGTTAGGGAACTACATGCCGCGCATGAAAGAACACTTAAAAAGAAAAGGCGCTCTACTAGACAGATTCCTATAGAATCAGGCACTTCAGTTAAGGAGGCTCAGGAGCTTATACAAAGCAGGAATTCTACTAATGGAGCTATATCTACTACCTCCGTAGATATAGGTCCTGTAGTAGAAAACCAGCGTGTACGCGCTCCACCAAAGTGCTCTGGTTGCGGTATTCTAGGCCATAAAATAACTCATTGTCCTAATCGTCAGACTATTTAGACTTTCTATAGAAATACAGATTTTTCGGTGGTTTGAATAGCTTCATTTCTAGGAGGCGCGAAAAAATTGCGAGGGTTGACCCACCCGGTTGCGTGACCCAGCCGCTTACCGAATACGTTATATGTTCTCAGCGTCTCTACATTTATGACCGAACCCATTTTTAAAGTCTCTGAGCTCCACTTTTACGGCAGACCCTTAAGACAAAACTGCAACAACAAAAATTTCTGTAAAGCATGTGTATACCGCCTAGTTATCCGCCTTGCTTAGATTTATCATAATCTCCCAAAGTAGCGGTATATATGGCCTTCTTGGTTATTTCTGGATACTATTTTCAAGTATTGTATAAGCCATGCCTCATTCAGCTATTGATCTTGGGCCTTATAAGGCTAAGATTATTAATCTTTATACTAATAATATATTCTATAACTCTATAATAGAGAATCTCTCTAGATCTTATAATCTTACTGTTTCTGAATATATATTCTGTACATGACTTAAGAGCTAGGAAATTCAAAAGCAGAATTATATAGTAGAAACTAATTAAGTTCTATATACTTAAATTAAGATTCTTTTTTATTAGATTAGACTTAAAGAAGATAAGCTTCTTAGAGTTCTATAACAGAATAGCTTTTAGATTAAAGCTTATATATTCCTGTATCTCTACTATAAGCTAGGATTATATTAATATATCAAGAATTCTATAACTGCTTAGATATAGATAAAAGTAGTTCTAGAGTAGCTTTATACAGAGCTTAACTAGGGCTAGATTAAAGAATATAGAAAGACCTTGTTTTATACTTATTTCCAGAGTAAAGACTATTTAATAACTAGATAAGTAATATAAAACCTAAGTATATCTATAGCTAATAGTTCTAGGGATTAGCTTTACTTATTATATTAAAAACTAGTATCTACTGCTATATAATAATATCTATAAGATCTTTAATAGAAATATAGTATCTATATTATATCTGGTCCTAACTTTATCTGGTCTATAGATAGATATCTTAAGCTTATACTATATAGAATTAAGATTTATATTATAATTAATATCTACTTCTGCTATATTATCTAGATCTATATTAGTATTATCTCTTATACAGCAGTTAGTGTACTCTGGCAGTTTCTGAAGATTATTAAAGTTACAAAACAACAGTCTTACTTTATATAATCAGACTAAGATATAGAGATAATCTTATTAGCAGAAGCTTAATATAAGCTACAGTAATTAAGATATTCTGAAATCTAGATTTCTAACTACTATATCTATAGTACAAGTACTGCTAATTAATAAATTAAAGCTTAGTAGAACTAATTAAGTAAAGAATTACTATTTTACTGAAAAGTATATATAATATCCCTTCTACTCTATCTTATATAAGAGCTAATAATAGACTTGTTAGGCCCAGCCCACGAAACCCGGCCCAACCCGGCCCAACCCGCCAAGTAATGGGCTGGGTTTGTGTATACGAAAGTCCATACCGGGCCAGGTTATTGACTACCCCAGCCCATGGGTCAACGGGTTAACCCGCGGGTTACCAAGATATAAAATACAGTAAATATATTATTTACCTACAGTAATATAAATAAATTACAGTATTAAGAGACTGTATTCTATCAAGAATGTAAATCATTACTTTACTAGGAAAGAATCTACAGCTGTGGGCCCCTACGGGTGGTTCACATATATATATTTTGACCCATGGGTGGTTTACATACTATCTTGACCCGGCCCAAACCCAACGGGCTGGGTTGCAAAACCTGAAAAACCCGGCCCAACCCGCGGGCCTAACAAGTCTAGCTAATAATAAGAAATAGATCTACTTTTAATCTTTTTAAAAAAAAAGAATATATTCTAAAGATAGTCTAGTAAACTAGATTATATTATATATAATCTATATATTAATTCTTTATCTTAAGATAATCTTCTTTATATAAACCTGGAATAATTATTCTATTTATATATAAAAGAACTGGCTATATCTTGTCTTTAGTAAATTATTTATAAACTATAACTATTCTAATAATAATATACTTAACTATAGCCTTAATTTTAATAAGAGTCTTCTTTATTCCTTATAGAAAGATATATAAAAATAGAGTAAATAATCTACTTTTTTCTTAAGACTTTAGCTAATCTTTAAAGACTCTAAAAAATATCTATTTTCTGCTATTTATAATTAAACTTTTATTTAATTAAAAGAGCTTAACTTTAATTTTTAGAACTTTTCTAAGTATACTAGAGAAGATATTTTTACTCTATTTTATATAACTTACTTTAATCTACAGGCTAGGATTTTGGCCTATATTAGATAGAGAAATAAGCTAGAACTAGACTTATTAAACTAGTTAATAAAAGAATTTAATTAGAAATTAATAGCTAATCAGAATATCTCTTAAATAAAGATTTTATATAATTAAAAGAAATCTGAAGATATAGAGACTAGCTAGATCTAGATATAGCTTAGAATTTATTATATTACTACTTTAATATATAATTCTGCTCTTTATATATTAACTAAATTTATAAAAATCTTTTTTAATATATTTAGAATAAGTTTCTAGATCTCTTACTGTTTTTATATAGATAAGATATATAGTAATATCCTTGTCTATAGCTTATATCTTATTTAATAAAGTAGAACTTCTCTATCTTATATATAAGATATAAAGATAATTAATCTTATTAATTTTTTTTTTATATCTTTAAATATATCTTTAATTATAATTACTGTCTTTATCTCTTTTAAATCTTCTCTATAAATAGCTTAATTTATTTATTATAATTATATAGATAAAGCTAAACAGTTATATTAATTTAAGATTACTTATATAAAGAAAAATAAGCTAAGTAGTACTATATCTATCTTTATTATTTTTATTTATTTTTATATCTTGAAACTAAATCTCTATATAGATAGAAAATAGTATATCTCTTTATATTAGTCTATACTTTTAGCTTATTTCTTATTAAATACTAATATCTATCAGATTAAATTGCTGCTAAGCTCTTTTCTTATATAATTAAATTCTTAGATAACTTTTTTAAGATTAATCTTTTAACTAAGTTTCTGGATAAATATAAAAAAAATAGTGATTAGTACTCTTTTATTTAGATAATTCAGAAATTAAAGCCTGTCTATTTTACTAAAGATACTGATAAGAAATAGTCTTTAGAGATACTTCTATTAATATAGTTTTAAAAAAATAAAGAAGATCTAGAGATTATCTATATAATTATTATATAAAAAAAGTATATAGATACTTTTACTGAATTAAAAAAAAAGATAAAGAAGAAAATAAAAAAGAAAATAAAGTCTAAGTCTATAACTAAAATTAAGATAGAATTAGTTATATAAAAAATAACTAAAAAATATTTATTCTTAATTATTTCTATTAAGATAAAGCCAGAAGAGTTATTAGTAATTAAAAAAAAAAAAAAAAAAGTCTAATTCTTTATCTAATTTTTTATTACTGTTAGTTCAGCTTCCTGAAGGAAATAGTATAGTCTATTATATAAGATAATATTATATTCTTTAACTAGAAGATCTTAAATACTTTACTAAATTTAGACTAGTTTAATTACTACTTAACTATATAGAGATATAACTGCTTAATTATCTTTTCTACTATTTTAATATCTATTTATTCTTTTTAATTATATAAGTATTTAACTACTTAGCTATCTATTCTATTACTTTATTAATTATCTAGCTTGTTTAGTTATATAAAAATTTAACTACTTACTATAATTAGCTACTGTTCTTAATAAAGATTACTTTTATATCTATATATAGTTACTTTACTGGATTCTGGAGTTTTAATAGTCTAAGACTATCTAAGATTACTGAGACCTTAGTAATATAAAAGTAGAGATAACTTTATTTTCTCTCTTTTTTTTCTCTTTCTCTAATTACTATTACTATTACTATATAATAGTATATAAGCTATATTAATTCTCTATCTTTTTTTATTTCTTAAAGTATCTACTAACTGCTTTTATATAATTTATATAATTCTTACTATAAGAATTATATAAATTATATATATATTAGTCTTAATTCTAATAACATGCCTATTAATATGCCTACTAATTATTTAATAAGTCTGGAAAAACTAGAAGCTCTTTTTACCTATATTCTTGAGATAATAGCTCCAGGCAGAAATCCTGTTCTTTCTATTAGAGATTATCTGTTATCACAGTACACTTATAATAATATATAGAGAGCCTTACTGGCCTGTATAGGGCACTCTATAGCTTTTATCTCCAGCAGAGTCAATGCTAGGCAGATCTTCAGCATATATAACTTATATATCAATGCCCTGCTCATTTAATTAAGGAGGGTTCATTTAGAGCAACCTTATACAAGATACCGGGATATACTTGGCTAATATATCTTCCCTGAATACTGCCATATTCCAGGGACATTTAGCGGAGTATACACTAACTGTAAATGGCCTGACTATATAAGTCAGTATTCTATTTAAGATAAGAATTAGAAGACTATATAATCTATTAACAATAGTTTACTCTAGGAGGCCCAAGAACAGTAGCCATGTTTTTTAATTAACTTAGATTCAGAGAAGGACAATAGAGCTGATAATCCAATTAACTTAGATAAATATAAAGAAGAAGAGACTAATAACCCTATATATCTTTAAGGTATATATAAGATTTCTTTTGTTTACAGGTATATCCCCAATACCAGCACTCCTAGTTGTACAGGCCCTGTGTACAACACCTTGAGCAAGGCTTGTACCTCTTCGTGGTGCTCAGGATAAGTAGCCACTAGCTACGTGGTGAAACCAAGCAGGCCATCATGTATGTATATATTTATTTTTCTGCCGGTCCTATACTAGCGCTTACATGAAATTTTTGTTGTTGCAGTTTTGTCTTAAGGGTCTGCCGTACACTTTCTCTTCATACTAGAGAACTTAGGGTGTCACTAACCCACAATGGGCTGCTCTATAAGGTATCTGTTGGTGAACTGAGGAAACCAAACACCTACATGATATATGCCGCACACGGCCATGTGCTGAAGACTCTGAGTGAAGAATCTCGACATTAGCCTGGCATTTATTGTATCATCGTCCGCTCTAAGGCTGAATGTTATGGAGGTTGTCATGTATGTATGCAACTATTAGTAAACAATGCCGTGTTTAGTTTTCTTTAGACACACTTATTTGGAGGAAATGGGTCATTTATAATTGCAAGCCACTTTTAACAGAGCTTCACATAGCATGTTGGATGCCTATGATGAACCTAGCTCAAACTGTGGGCCATAATTGAATAGTACACCGGATCAAGGAACTCGCCAGAGTAATTTATATAACACAACCAAGCCCCCCATTCAAAGTCATTGAAATTGGCGAGCCTAGGTAGTGGATGGCCAAGCTTAATCGGATTTCCCTGCATGATGCCAAGTAATACTTCAAGATATCTCAGATATAGTACAGCCAGGCGATTGGTGCAAAAACTGGTTCCTTAATGATAGTGATTATGCGGGGTATATTTACCTTAGGCGTTCGGGTCTGATTACCCCGAGGATAGGTTAAAACGGTAGGAGTGTCATTGATGGTGTATTCTGTTGCAGCAAAACACTTCAACATGGCTTGGATATCCATATTACTGTTCGTCCTCGCATCGGCTCCAACATTGGCCCACATTGACCGGTAAGTCTCGATACACAACGTACAGCTCATGTGAACGAATCGCTTAGTATGGCAGACAACGTATAGTTTCCAAGTACAATGTAGTCCGCTCCAAGCTGATCACCAAAGAAACGACGCCTCTCCAAGTGGGCAATGGGAACTTTGCATTCAACGTAGACAACACTGGAATGCAGGTATAAGTTATCGATCTAACCCTATCGGTATAGATACTGAGATCCAGATCAGACATTCCTTCCATTCAATACACTTTCCAGTTGGGGCTGGCATAATGACTCTGTGCCAAGCAATGGGTAGGTATACTTTGCATTCCCTAGGCTTGTTGTCATGGCTAGATCAAGTATCTAAACTTGGACAGAGAGAAGATCGACGATTACCAAGGAGTCAGTATGCTAACTCATGGGCGCAATGTCTCGTACGACATTCCCGATCCTGACCTCCCTGAGGCATCGCAATGGCTCGTCGCCAACCCCAACCGTATCAACCTAGGCCGAATTGGTCTTCGGTACAAGGGCTCATTGATCTCGGTGTCACAAACTACAGAGCCATCTCAGAAGCTCGACCTGTGGAATGGGGTGATCGTGTCTACATTTCGGATCGATGGGCAGCCCGTCAGCGTCGTGACTCAAGGGGACCTTGACTCCGATTCAGTGACATTCCATGTCGAGTCGAACCTAGTCGCGACCGGTGATCTATCCGTCGAGCTAGATTTCCCCTATCCTCCAATTCATTCAACTAAGTATAAGTACGAGGTCTTTGTTGGTGTTTATGACTTTCCGCAGAATCATACTACCTTGCTTCTGGAAGATTCAAAAGCAAATACGGCGCATATACGGCATGAAATACAAGAGATGCAATACTTTGTGAATTTGCAATGGGATCCTGAAGTCCCGCTTCGGCTCTCTCGGGAAGAGAATAAAACTCACCGATACACTCTCAAGCCCGAATCATCATCTACCATAGCTTTCATAGCAAATTTCTCACCACAGAAACAAGCAGCCGGTTCGCCACGAGCAGTTCGGGAGCGCAGCTCTACGGCTTGGAACCAGTACTGGGCTCAGGGAGGCTTTGTCGATCTCACCTCCTCATCAAACCCCAAAGCAGACGAGCTGCAGCGCCGAATTATCTTATCACAGTACCATATTCGGGTCAATAGCGCAGCCACAGGGCAGTCACCCCAAGAGAGCGGCTTGATGAACAACGGGTGGTATGGTAAGTACCAAGTGTACCTAATGTAATCATGCAGACGCCAACAGAGGCAATAGGCAAATTCCACATGGAGATGGTGGTATGGCATAATGCACATTGGGTGACATGGGGTCGGAAGCAACATTTCGGTGATATATTCCCAGCCTTATATGAAACATTGCTCACGTCATCGACCAAACGGGCAACATCGATGGGATGGGATGGAGCCCGGTCTGTCAACCTTCCTCTGAATATGCAATCAAGTATCTGACATGCAGAAGGTGGCCAAAGATGACTGATATTGAGACTGGAGTAAGTTCTCCGGGAGGTATTAATGGTCTCCTCCTATGGCAGCAGGTACGTTCACGCAAACGAACACATTGCGATGCACTAACGACAAGTAGCCTCACCCCATGTATCTAGCCAGATTAGCTTACCAGGCATCGCCCACACAAGACACCCTTGAGCGATGGGATCGCGTGTTAACCGCCACGGCGGATTATATGGCGTCTTACGCTTGGAAGAACACAAGCTCGGGCTTTTATGATCTGGGGCCCCCGTATGCTTGTTCACGACTAGGCCATGTGCCTTGCTGACATCCGCAGGTCTTATGGTGTAACGGAGAACACGCCTCCCATCAAAAGCCGCAATCTAGCCTATGAGGTTAGGTTCCCTCTAACATCCCACGAGACAGGAGAAGTTAACCCAGCGCTAGATCGCCTACTGGAGATACGGGCTCGATATCGCCCGTGAGTGGAAGAGGAAACTCGATCAGCCCATTCCCAATATATGGACAGTAGTGGCGGAAGGCCTCGCTCCCCCTCCTCAGATTGACGGCCTCTATACGGTTTATGAAGGGTTAAATAGTTCTTGGTGGAATGACACTTCCTTAACAAAAGACCCTCGTAGCTTGATCATGCTGCAAGGTATCCTACCCGACACACCGGCGGTTGATCCACAAGTTGCATTACGAACAGCAAACAAGGTAGGAGAAATTTGGACTGACGATAAGATTAGGGGATGGGGTAGGCCCGTTCTTGCAATCAATGCGGCACGGATTGGGAATCCGGAGCGAGCGATATATCACCTAACCGCGTTCGACTATTGGAATTTTGATGATGCTGGCATGACAACCCCCACTTTCCCTTTGCGACGATGCTAACTATCAGATATCTAGGATTTGCCGAACGTGGAGGAGATGGTAAGCCCTCTACTTGATAATCCGCGAGACCATTCCTAATATCAAGATGGCATATAGGAGGAACTCCTCCCCCTTTTATGCCTGGTAATGCTGGGTTACTTTATGCCGGTAAGTAATATATGAAATGGCGCGTGGAGTGGTCGGCGTGTTGATGATTATAGTGGCATACATGGTTGCTGGTTGGGACGGATCTCACGGCGATACTCCCGGATTCCCTCAGGACGGCAGTTGGGTAATTAAGCATGAAGGATTACTCAAGGCTCCGTAGTAGACTCCGTTCCCTTTCGAGAGATACCATATGGGGCGGAATATACGGCCAGATGCACATTTTCCAGCCAATGGACTGGGCACTATGTGTTGCTATATTATCCGCCGGCGCATGTTCCCTGTCAAATAATGCGGCGCAGACATACCCAGTAAATATAATATAGCAAAGATCACGGTGATGGAATTCGTAGTTTGTTTCGGATTAAGGATTGCTTATTCTATCACAGAGCTGAGAGGGCAAATCACGGCGGCTGTCGTACCGATTCTCCGGTTTGCACTAGCCCTAAGTTAATGATATAAATCCAACCACTCTCCTTCATAAGTCCATGAATATGGGGGAGGGACAAGCTTGACAGACGGGAAGTCATTCAGCTAGCCAGAAAACGGACTGGACTACTACCACACTTAGTAAAAATGTAGCTGACCTACATTTGCGGCCAGATACCACTTCAGAGACCGGCCATTCCCTTTCCTGCCAGGAGCCGGGGACAGATAGGTTTGAGAAAGTTGAACAATTAGACTCTCACTCTTTCCAGATGAGCTCACAGGATATGCCCGTCACTTGGCGACAATAACAGTCAATGATTTCCGCACTATTCTGCTGGTGAATGACGAGCGATTCCTGGGCACAGTGCTGCAGGAACTCGATAGCCTTGTCCAGAAACACGCCATCCTCTCTCCTGATCAGGCTCAAATCCTTCAGCAAGGCATTGTGCCCACATTCCTCCCAAGCTCCCAAGAACTAAACCAAGGGGTTGGTCGCAGTAACCGAGCAAAGGCTACTAAGAACAACTATATCCTGAAGGCATCTCGTCAGTGCCGCGAGAAGGGTCATTTACTTAGCGAAGGTCTCTCTACAAAACAATGGGAGGCAACCATATCGGACATGCAAGATCCAAGTATCCCAGAAGACATCAAATCACCGCTTGTGTGCTTCAGCCATATGTACGGCAACCTACTTTTGATGTGACGAGCAAGGACAAAGTTGAACATGGAAGTCGAATGGTTAGCACGTATTATACCGTCAGTGGTCGCTTCCTTGGGTTAGGGCCATGGCGTACAGCCAAGGCAAAGATTTACAACGTCCATGGGAGCGGATGTGTAGGGGTACATTCTGTTACCCAAGCTGATGTGGACTTACAACACTGAGGAGCTGGACCGTGTAGCATGGAAGGGTACCGAATGCAGTGATAATCTTGGTTAACTACACGTAGTTTTTCAGTCAGACGGTACGAAGCATTGTAGCTTAACTTCGTGGGTAATTATTCAGAGTAAAGCTTCCTAATTTACTCTGTCTTGGGCAGTTAGGTGCACCCGTTGGTCTATGTTTCAGAAAGATTTTGCGAATTTATCTTACTCCAATGAATTCTTATACCACGTTTCTACCAAACCCGCAACGCATACCTGATCAAATCTTTCACAAGCAAGTAAATGAACGCGAAAAGTTTTGCAAGCCATGAGCGTCGTCAATGGTGGATAAAAAGGCAACATGCTGATCGGGTCGCAACAAGGCTATACACCCTTCAGAGTGAATACCAAAGGACTCATATAGCTTGCCACCTCCAGGATGGTGGTAAGATTCATTATCTACCAATACCCTGTTGCAATATATACTCCTGTCGTCACCAAATGGCCTAAAGGTTTCCGGCAATGAAAAAAATCAATACTGTTCCTGCGTGCCGAATGTAACAGATGCACTCCTACTAACCCGACGCCGCCTCTTATCGTTCTGGCCTTGTTCAATTGCTGAAAGTATGAGTCTGAGTGAGAGAGTGCATCCGTCAGATGACGGATGCAACCCATCCGTTCACTCTTGGAGATATCACCTCGAAAGACAATCAAATTCCACTGACCTTTACTAGGAAAGCTTTGTTGTAGGTGGTAGGCTTGGGAATTGCTCTAGTTCAGGACCAATTTGCTCGGAATCCTGGCCCCTATCTTTATGGCCTTTGCTAGAGACAGATCGCTTCTAAATGATGCTTCGCCTTGTTTTGCGGAAGGGCTAATAAGAAAGTTGATAGGTTGCGGTGAGACCAGAAGCTGAAGTATTTTCTTCGCGAATGGCACGCTTGTGATCCTCATCGAATCTATCACAAAGCATAGGTTCACTTTCGTTCCGACTGCACATTCTGCGGCAGATACGCCAGTCCAGCTGTGTAAGCCGTTTGGCGATTGGTAGCCTTTCTTCCGCATACGTGTCTAATATATTCGGTGGCGAGGCGCCATGAATCACGGAAGCAAGTTTCCATCCGAGGTTGTATGTGTCCTGCATGCTGACTTTCATTCCTTGTCCCACTTTAGGGGAGTGAGTATGGATTGCCTCACCAGCCAGGAATATACGATTGTAGATTGAGATCTTCGGGCATACCCGCTGGCCAACTTACGTTCGTTAGTATAGATGTGTAAGAGCGTTCAATGATGTAAATACCTTGTAGGTGGTATACCAGGCGATTTGGTTTGTCTTCATGGTATATGGCTGCATGATCTCGGCGATCTGGTCCATAATAATCTGGGGCTCCTGCTGTTCTGTGAACCTGCCAGATTCTATCGGGGACAATTCAACGTATACTCGCGCAAGGCGTCTCTCCCGCGGGACTATCATCAGTGTTCCAAATCTAGATTTGACAATGAACCTTTTACGTATATTCGCTGTAGTATGTGGCAGTATCCAGCTCCTTTATGTCCTTCGTCCACCCTGCCCTCGCTCACCGTCTCTAACGTTACCACCACCCCTGGTGAATATGCATAGTAATAAATCTTGAGACTTTATATGGAGCTCATTCTTATTAGAATCATCATTATTATTCTTGATACTATCTAGAGCTAGCTTTCCATAACGCATACTTGGATTCACACTCTACAAGAAAGACGGTTACGTTACAAGCTAAGCTACATCAAACAGCTCCACTTTGCCATATTTCTCCCTTCCCCATGCCTGCAATCCCTGATCTAGTTCCTTCGTAAATCCCTCGTCATATTTCATACCGTCCTTTAAATAGGCAATACGGCCAGTCCTCCAAGTTATCCAGCCTTCTGCCAGCACAGACTCTGGATCCCGCAAGATACCGACCGCAACATCAGCTATTTCCGGTCGATCAGCACAGCTATAAAAGACGACAGCCCCGCAAGTACCACAAAAGGTCCTCACCACCCCCTCGCTCGAGTAATAGCGCTTGGAAGACCCGATGAGCAAATTGTCCGGAGGGGAAGGGGAGATGTGGTTCAGCGGAACGAACATCCATGCTGCAACATTCGCCCCACTAACCAAGCGGCAGGTGTCGCAGACATCGAAGACTCCAAGCCACTTGTCTTTCCCTCCTGGAAGGATCCATTTACGGTTCCCAGGATCGTTCACAAAATCTTCACGAGGCCGGGAGATATCGAAGGTGACCCCTCCACAGTGACAGGAAGCGTGGAGCTGTTGATCCGCGCTTCTTTGCAGCTTCGGGATGTTCTCTACTGGGCTACGAGAACATAGGCTGTCTAGGGTTGAGGTTGATCTGGTGAGTTCACGGCCGTTTACTTGGCTTAGGAAGTGAAATAACCCGTCTTGGCTTCCAGCGTCTGCATGGATGTGTGAAGTAATTTGCCAGACACTTTCATCCCCGCTGTGATCGAAGATCGCGCTGGATACCACCCATCGCCCATCCACATCTTGCCGGTCTCCAACATGGCAACCACAAGTACGACAGAAGTACCGGGTCGAACTGGACTTGGGATGCGCATATGGAGTCAAGCCATCGAGGTTTGAGGGTGCGATGAACTGGGGCTGAATGTCTTCGGGGAGTGGGGCATGGAAGCTGCAGAGGGATCCATGCGTATAGCGACACACGGTGCAGTGGCACAGGTGGATCTTGAGTGGGAGGGCGCTTTCCGGAATACAGATCGTGAAGTGCACTGATCGACAGTGGCAGGCTGCCGTTAGGGTTCTGCTTTGTATAGTAGCAGCCATATTTAGATCATGGTTTTGCGCAAGGGAGAGATGGGGGAGAAGAGAGGGACGGCCAGGTCTAGGAGATTAAATAATCAAGGACCATCCTACCCCGCCGTCGATAGTGTTGGCCTCGTATTTTGTCATTGAAAACGGGCAACACTTCTGTCCATGTCGGCATGACTAGAGGTCAGTCTACCGAACTCCGTCTCCTTATTATCCAATATCGCCCAAAGTGCGAAGATATGAAACGTTACTACTTAGCATATTGGCCGTAGGGTTGGGTCACGTACCTTGTTGCCATCTATATATCAAGCTTCCAGTACTAGCCCATTTGCTAAGAGAGGTAATGGGATATACGAGGTCTCCCCACTTTCACGAGGCGCTGCTGTTCGTATTGGCAACCATAGATCAACCGATAGTCAACCTGAGGAGTTAAAAATAAAACATTCCTAACGTTATTGTATACGATCCCCTGCTGATCGTTATTTCCCTTCTGCCAGTTAAAGAAGAAATACGTTCCATTTTGATCCATTCAACCTCGTATGGAAGGAATTCATCTGTACTCGCATCATGCATTCATATTGGGTTAGCCGAGAAGTAGTGTCTGGTGGTGTGCAAGGTATAAAGATGGCAGAAACGACATCAAGTCAGAGAATCTTCGGTCTCAATTCTCCTCCCATAAAATTATCAGCTGGTTCAAAGGTGTGATCTCGATATAATCATGAAGTTTCATCTCTGGGCCGTTGCCCTCGCATCGGCGCTCTGCGTCCAGGCCAACGAATGGCATGCATACTACCGCCTTAATGGTAAGGCGTACCAAGCAAAGTTCGACGAGATGGTCAAACAAGGATACCGACTCAACTCCGTCAGCGGGTACGAACACAACAATGAAGCGAACTTTGCCGTCATTTTCGAGAAGAGACCCACCCCCGCATGGAAGTCACACCACGGATTGACCTCCGATCAGTACCATGACAAATTCGAAGACTACCTGAAGCAAGGTTACCGCGTTGTTCAAGTGAATGGCTACACAGTTGACGGAAAGGATCGCTACACCGCTATCTGGGAGAAGTCCTCCTCTGTACCCTGGATCTCACGTCATGGAATGAACAAGGAATGGATGCAGAAGTACTTTGACAAGTACCTGGCGGAGGGATACCGAATGACGCACGTGAGCGGTTATGAGGTTGGTACTGAGGCTCGCTTTGCTGCTGTTTGGGAAAAGCAGAATGATAGTACTGCCTGGGTTTCCGCTGGAGAGTTGAACTCGACGGCCTACCAAGCGACCTTCGATAAACATGTCAAGGATGGATACCGCCTGGTTGATGTGGACGGCTACCAGGATGGTGACGGCGTGAAGTATGCGGCAATCTGGGACAAGTCTCCATCCGGTGCGTGGGTGGCAAGACACGGTTTGGATTCCCCAACATTCCAAGCTGAGTTCGACAAGTACCGGAGCAAGGGCTATGTCCTGCGGACATTTAGTGGATATAACGATGGGTCTGCGGATCGCTACGCTGCTATCTGGGTTAAATAATCTCGAACCCTCGCGAAGCATATTCTTCGCTAGGTAGTGGGAGACGACTGAGCAAAGACTGTGTGTGGATATTTGGATATTTGTGTATTAATCGAACCACCTTTAGTGTGAGGTTTACGCTGGCTAACTATCAGCTTGCACATGTGTACGTTTCATAGGTCTGGACAACAACAACAACTACTACCTACTACTACTAGCGAAGGATTCAGTTAATGGTTTCAGGCCAAAGTTCACCCGAACATCGTAAGCCAAGAAAAAGTTGTACCATAGTTTAATTTTCATACACGTTTTCCTGTCTAGGCCATAAGAACAGATCGATGCCTATGCCTGTCGGGTATAATGCTGCCCTAGCCCTAGTCCCCTCCATGTATCTTGGTTAAGCCTGGGCTTTGTTTAGCCTGTACCGGAATGGTGGAGGTGGTACCATGTTCATATTAAAGTTCCCACCTCTGCGCTGTGCATTATTGAAGTACCTAGCAGCTACACATCCCTCGATGGGCAGTCTCTCTTATAGTTGAATTGGACTCGAATACTAGGACGTGTAACTAAGTTTGCGCCCAAGGGTACATCCATAAGACGCAGAGTCGATCCTATGGCTCAGGGGCCCCCAGGAGCATTGGAACCATATGTAACTGTCTATGATTCGTGGTCTATCTTTCACAGATGACCGTGCCTTCTGTAGGGTCAATCGTCTAGTATAATCCTTGGGTCTGATAATATCTGAGTTGGTTGACCCGCCTCTTCAAAGCTCTGGTTTCTTCTCAAAATACCCTTGTTACATAGGTAGCTCGTACTTTAGAGCATCAACTCCATTTCCTTCTCGTTAGAAGTCTCCTCTTTGCTGCTACCTTTTCCTCGACGTAGCTAAGAAGGCCACCCCCTGTTGCAGAACGATTATGTGGTCTTTATGGGGGCATTATTACACGTGTTTTATTTGCTCAAAAGACAATCAATGTATCAGGAATCATAGGTAAACCCGCCGGGTAGACCACATCTAATCTGCTGTTCATTAGATATACCTATGATATCAGACTGTTAATGTACTAATATTGATATTACTCTTGCTATTTTAGCGCTAGTGGAAGTCATTACTGGAATAGGACCGCCGAACTTACCGCAGCTGGACGACCTGTTGATGTTATCATTCGCGGTACTGCACCTCATGAGCCCATTATCTCCGGAAGATATAGGCATACCGTATTCACTAGCGTTGTGAGCGTTTTGGATTACACCAGCGTCGTCATCCCAGTAACACATGTAGATATGTCAGTGGGTAACTGGCTAGTTCCGACGGAGTTTCTAAGCGAAGCAGACAGGCGGATACTGCTCGAAGGTAAGCATGCTATATTAAGATTTTTGACGAGTTTTGACGCCTGTTTCTAGAGTCTTACGATAGTGCACCGGTAGGGATTCAGCTGGTGGGACAACAGTTGCAGGAGGATAGGATTCTGGTATTGGCTGAGTATGTTAGCAAAAGTATCCAAAGAGAATCGACGCATGAATAGGAGACCCAAATGAGACAGAAGCAAAATGTTGAAACCCCGTACTTCAGCTGCTTTCAGCCTGGTTATCAGTAAATAACTCGCCCGCTTGGCCTAACTAGACTACTAACCCAGCCACTCAGAAGGCAAATGCTTCTGACAGGCATGCGTATATACTCGATTGGTTCACGCCAATCATGATTTCGCGTCACACGAGGCTATAGGTTTATTTCAACTGCGAATTTGGTCATGTCCGGAGCCAGTTACGGGGTTCATGATAATTTCAGCAAACCAGGGCATCACGTTTCTTGTCCTCAAGTGCCGGATTCTCAGCTCCACCAAAAATGAACAAAAGCAACCACTATACTCGATCCCCAACTGGGGTCCATCGTAAGCCCATAAGTCAGGTTACGTGAAACCCAACTAGGAACTTGTGGTGGCAGTGTAATCGGAAGCCGAACACTTAGCAAGATCTTCAGCTAGCCCTTGCCGTCTTGCATAAAGCCCCGCAATGTGCCTCCCCCGCATGGTTGAGACAGAAGTACGTTATTGGGATAGCTAGTGCATGCAACTGTCATCCAACAGGCGCGTCCATGTTCTAGACCACCAGCTTGGACCAATCCTATCGTTTCCGACGCTTTCTGCCGTTCGTCAAGCACCTTACTCGCTATCCAGCTAATGATTCCCCCGGCCAATGACGGGCAGAGGCTTAGCCTGATCCGAACTTCACTTCACAAACATGCATAAGCATTACAGGAAGAGCTGAAAGGTGCATTAGCTTTCCTCCTGAATAACTGCTACTGGTATGCAAAACTGAGGCGTGGGCTGCATCAACTACCTTCCATTGGTACGATGAGAAGAGGGGAAGGCAGGTTAATGTCAAGGTGCTGATTAGCCCAGCTAGCCTCCGACAATGATATGCAGGTATGACGAAGTAGGTAGCAAATACGATGCCGAGTCTGCCTACAGTATATCATATTCACGCAATAAATACCTGCAAAACTCGGGTAGGATGAATGGGTATCACAGCGGTTTTTCATAAACAGGAAAGACAACTAAGAAAGAGTCATTCCAAGTCTCCCGGCACAGTCCAATAGTTCCAACTTCACGTCGATCAGGTTTGTGCCACGCCCTTTGCTCGCAAATATTCCTCTCAACCTCTTCACAATCGCCAGTCTTCACTACCATGGCTATCAAAACCAAGCATATTCCCGTCCTCCCTCGCCCAAAATGGCTCGATGCCGCAGGAATGGGCAAGGGAATTGGACATGATCGCCAGCACTTGACCATTGTTCTCGCTGCAGGCCAGACGATCAAGGCCCGCCAAACCAACACCGCATTCACCGGTGAACTCACACTTCGCTTGCTGAATGACGACAACAAAACAGAGGCTTCAGAAAAGGTGGGTACCGGCTGGACTGACCTCAGTGTGGGTGTCGTCTCTGTGCCCTTCATCGACACTTGGTACACCGAGACATCGGAAGGTGCGGTGGAACCAGTGGTTGAATTCGAGTATCCCGACGGTTCAAAGCAATTGCCCGTGTATCAGAAAGGCCAAAGCCAAGCCGACTTTTTCAAGCAGTGGGATAGCCAGGGGTCGGAGTTTGCGCTAATCGACTCCAGCTACACGCAGGTTCTGGTGCCTGTGGTCGATAAAGAGGCGCTGAGACATCCACAAGTGGTGGACGATATCGATGGTTTGATCGGATACTATGAATCGGTGTTTTCATTCTATAACTCCTTGGCTGGGCTGTCCTTTGAACCGGAGCGTCCGAGCGACCTGAACAGCGCCAATCGCTACTTTATGAAAGCGGATAAGAATGGTGCCGGAGGAGCATATTACGGCGGTAGCTGGACCGCGGCGTCAACCAATGCAATCAAGGACTGGTGGCTGCTTCCGGAGGCGAGCAACTGGGGCAATTTGCATGAGATTGGCCATGGCTATCAGATGTCCTTCCGGAATGACCGCTATTTTTGGAACGGTGAAGTGTCCAACAATGTTTATGCTGCCTTTTACCAGAGCGCCTATCTGGGTGACCGCAAGTTCAAGGAAGGTTGGCTGTACAATTATGGAAAGCAGGCCCAGGTGGAACAAGGCATCATGAATGATATTAATTCTCACAAGTCCCTCAATGACTGGGATCTGCGTGCGAAGCTATATTTCCTTGTGCTGATGGTGGAAAAGGCGGGTGTGGACGCCTTTGCAGATTTCAATCAGCAATATCGCCTGGTCAGCAACCAAGCGAATTTTAGTTCTTCTGATCATCTGCTGCTTGATATGCTCTCTGACAGTTTTACTCGCGTTGGACACGTCGATGTGACGCCTTTTGCCGAGCTATGTAGTGGATTTATCTCGCCAACTCAACGCGAGATCAACCAATTCAGCCAAGCCAGAGCGGTCTATCCGTTGAATCAGCTGGTAGAAGGAGACACGTTAATTAAGCTGCAAGCTCAGCTCCATTTGGAGAGCTCTCTCGCTCTGGTCGATGTCCCGCAGTTACTCGCCAGCGGGCTTAAGGGCAATATTACCCTCGAACTGAAAGTCGACGACTTTACCCAGGTGTATGGGAAGACAGTCACCGTCATGGATGGCTCCCGCTATGTGCGCCAGCTTCCCATTGAAACCCAGAATATAAGCCTCGGTGATTTGCCTATCGGCGTCTACTCTCTGCGTTTACCTCTGGGTAGAAACAAAAAGTATCAAGTGGACCAACGTTACCTCGTCGTCAAGCCCGGGTCAGCCCAGGTACAGGTAAACTTTGCCCCTCAGACAGGTTCTCAAGTGGCAACACAGGAGCTCAAGTTCCTTGGCCTTGGAGACGACCTCTTCAGTACCGTACTCATCGACCAAGTAAACCAAGTTGTGCAAGTGGCCGTGACAAGTAAGGACCCGCATTCTTACTTCGGAAGTGAAACCTACGCGGAGATCGTGATAAAAGATAGTGGCGACACAGAGAAGTTCCGCGCCACGATGCCAGGCGTTGGAGCAACACTGTGCAATGATAAAATACACTTCGAGCCTGGCTACACGCTGGAGGTTTACCATGCGGAGCCCAGCCACAGGTTACAGCTGAGGCCGGACTTTAACGGTGTAATCGACCATGAGCAAAAGACGAATATATTTGAGATAACCTCCAGTGGCCTCAAAAACAAGACACTGAACAATGACCCATTGACAGCCCTATCGGCGCGGATAGCATCTGCAGCGGCTGTACTTCGTAATCATCCTACTCTGTTGCATGCCGAGCCTCCCAGCAAAGTTGAGATCTGGCTCGCTATCAACCAATTCACCGGCTCTCAGCGCGATGATCTCCTGAAGCAATATGCCGACTGCATACCATCTGACAATGCCGCGGCCGGGGAGGGACTTGGTAATTCCTTCACAGCATCATTCAAAGGAATCGGTGATTGGCATTTCCTGACCGCAGAGTTGGATCTGGCCGGAAGGAAACTGACCGTGCACCTGAGAGCCGGGGTTGCCCACAACTATTTTCCCGATACTTATGCATCGTTGCAGGCCATTGATGTTGACGAAAATGAGCTGCTCGATCTTGATGTCAAGGGCAACACGACACAGAAGGCACAGGACTGGACCCTGCCGATTTCCGGCTATGGAGGAGAGGTGCTGAACATCCGTCATGAGGAAGCGCCTACCCGTCTTTTCATCAGCAATAATATGCAGAACCTTCGCCTGTCTGATCGTGATACAATTCAGAGCTATCGTGTGACCGCAACGGGGCTTCAACTTATTCCCAAGGCCTAAAGAATGACGCTATGATTGTCGTGCTTTTGCGTTCGTTGATCAGAAGATATACCTTTGGTCTTCTAACTTGGGATCTTCAGGCCCGTCACATAAGCCCACCTCTCCCTCATTATATTTAGTCAAAGTACTGCTTAGGACAAACGTTGCCCTGCAAACAATTTCAATTATCCGAGATACGTTTTATCTCTTCTTTCGTTTTAGTCTAGAAGAATCCTCCAGTATTCGCCCAGGTACTTTTAAACGAACAGTATAGTACTCTCGTCTGTCGGCCACCAACATGGCATACTATTTGGTAATTTAAGCTCCCTTTGAGCGAGTTGTGTAAGTGGTGGGTGCAGGTGGTTCTCTAAGGATTAATCCAAGCCTTAAAACTCCACTTTGAGTTGCCCGGTGGAGATTTGGGTTGAGAGCTTCAGCGCCCTGGCGTCACATAAACAAATATAACGTTTCCTTCCTTCACCCATTTTCTTTGCAGCTATCAGTCTTTCCATCTCAGCTCTTTAGAAAACCAAAGCAACGCATTGGACGTTAACTATTCTCGTTGCCTTATGCCTTCTAGCTGTGGCTTCTGCTGAAGCTACAGCCTCTGGCAGAGGCATTGGCATGTTCCCCGGTGAAAGAAGCTACTTGCTCCAGCATTGTTCGGACCTCGAGATAAAAGAACACATTGCTGTACCAAACTAGCCCCTACCCCCACAGGTGCTGTGCGCAAAGTACGCAAACCATGACGGGCCCAAAGGACCCACGCATTCAGAACTCTATCTAAGTCGGAATAACCACTAATGATCTTAGTGGGAATGGATTCGGCCCTCAGAACAGAAAATGCTGGGACTCTAGCTACGCTGGAAACTTTGATACTAGGTGTGCCTGTACGAACGTCCGGGAAAGTGAGCGCAATATATTCGGCACGCAATTACTCCAAAAATATCTTAGAAGGTATTTACCATAGGTAAATATCTGCCACGAAACATAGTGGAATGTTTTCTGACTGAAAAGCTATACAGATAATGCGCTAATGCTTAGGAACGGTGGTTATTTAGAATGCTTTGGAATCCGGGCAAGGGATCCTGTTAGATTGCAGCCCCAGCCACAGCCACAGCCCTTGCGAGGGCGAGGAGAATCTCCCCGGCAAGATGCCACACCTGTTGACGATGATTGTTGGACTTCGATTGGTGCTTGGGGAATTGACTAATACTGTTTCATGTCGCAAGAATAGGTGGACCTAGAGACACCCGTTTTCATAACATCTAGAAACCCACCAGGGACTGAATTGACGGTTGAAGACAATACGAATCCCCCTATGGCCCTGGTATTACGATGTCCAGGAATACTACACTTGTTTATATGGTCAATCGTGAAGAGAAAGCGATCAGGGTTCGGAGTCAGCTATGCTGATTGTGCCCTAACTCCCACCAGCGTGACACGGCTAGTTGCGGCCTTTATACAGCACTCACACAGTCATTGAAGTTGCGTTGCTTCCTTAGTTTATCAATATATGTAGCGTCCCGTGTCCAATCAACCCCCTGGTCGTGCCACTTCAACAGTTAAACTATGGAAGGCAATTTTTTCTCATAGTACAGCCAGTTCGGCCACCGATTTCCCTTATGTTCAACAAGCTTGACTGAGCGTGGCGCTAATGTGTCAGCTAGGAGTGCGATACCTTTTCCTTAGAAGCCGTATAGGAAAAATGTAGAAGCTAACGTTCCCTCATTTTACTCAATATGACAACCTTGTTCGAAGTTATGATGAATGCTTTCATCACGATCTACTATGGTCTTAATGAGGTTTGAATAGAAGATGTAGGTTCCAAATGCTGAATACGATTCCCATTACTTACTCCACTATGTAAAGAGCAGTCGTATTCTCCCTGATATGATACTTTTCAAATTGAACGTTTGCCTTTCTGGTTCCCCTCACAACTTGGTTCCAATCCAGATTTATAATCACTATCCATGATACATGGGGAAGCATTCTGTCATTCAGAAGCGACCCCTCTGGCCGACAAACCGTGACCTTTCAGGCATTACACCAGCATTGCAGTTTGACATCGTTTCATTCTTCAAAGTAGTGACACGTATGCATCTGACGTACTATCTGTCCAGGATTAAGTAGAAAACTTGAAATTAAGAAAACATGATTCCTGTTCAGCATTCCAGTTGATATAAATTCGAATAAAAGACTAACATGCGTATAGCATCATGTATGACTGGGATGCATTGGTTGTAATCAACACTATACCCTGAACGGACCCCCTCATGCTCATGCTGACAAGGCAACTGCCTGAAGGGATATCCCCGTATATTTCTTTAAGGCCCGTGATACAATAGCGCTGGTTGTTTGGCAATCGGCCTGACATCCGGCCTCCGGCCCTATAGGCAGTTTCGGTTATAGCGGGGGTAAATGAGGCTTATTTCAATCCAAACTAGTTTTCTAATCGTGCCTAACACCCCTGTAGCAATTCCATATCTATGATCTCTCTCGAAGATATTTAAGCAGAGAAGTATCCCGCTGATTTCTGCTACTATTCTACAACCATCTTCAGCATCGTCCCCGATTATATCGTAAAGCAACCCTACTTTCACCAAGCCTAGCCTTCTGCAGACCCAAAAAGGTCCCAATATACCGTAAGCACGGAAAACAATGCTATATCACATACATCCACTAACAGACATCTCACTGCAGCACAATGCAACTCAAGTACACCGCTATCGTCCTGGCCCTCGCCACCTCCATCTCGGCCCAGGGCTACTCCATCATGAGCTGCAACACCAATGCCATACCCTGCCAGGCCGCTGGCGTAGCCTGCCACAATGAGAATACTCCCTGGGCCTGCCCTGTCAGCAATAACATGGTGGAAGCTTTTTCGATCGCCTGTCGCAACGCCAACGGTTATCCAGAGAACCGTAAGTCTGACGTGACTCTGGAGGTAGCGCTGCAGGACGCTGGCTGCAAGGTCTAATCGTACCATCTTGCCAATGACACGATCCGAAGATGGTGGCATTTCGCGGTCGAATGTGGTGTTGTGCGAATGGTGTCGTGTTTTGATTGGCGACAGCTGGGCATCTCGGTAGCAAATTTAGTTCATTATGATTGACTCGCGAGAGCTGCAATTTGATAGTAGTTTTGCAACGTTGATTTGAAGTGTCAAAGAGAGCTCCCATACTCTCGTTGCTAGGATAACATTTTACAAGGAATAAACTAGCACATTACACTTCCACAGAGCTCAATTGCTCACAGCTAGTGTATTATGTAAACTCTCCAAGCTCTCTAAGTATAAGATCCAGTATCTGGTACTGATTAATCTCTTCTAGAGTGAGTCATCAGGACAGCGGAGGATATACAATGTCCTCGCACCCAATTAAACGCCATCCACGCGATCCACTTGCTGTTCCTTCCCGCTTCCATGTCTACACTTCTCACTGGAACAACGTTCTCATCCATACCCTCACTACGGAGTAAAACCTACCACAATTCAACATGACGCCTCCAATCCCTTCCGAAAGGCCGACACACGGATACCACTCTTCCCCATCGCTAAAACCCTACCAAACCCCAGTAAACACCTACATCTCACAGAGGCCCTCAGACCAACTCGTCGGCATTCTCTGCGCATCCATCATAATCCACAGAGGCCGAGTCCTCCTCATCCAACGCGTCCCAGATGACGACTACCCCAATCTATGGGAAGCCCCCGGCGGCGTAGCCGACGATGGTGAAACGATCGTAGACTGTGCTGTCCGGGAGCTCCGCGAGGAAACAGGTCTGCGGGCGTCGGCTGTTACGGGCCTGGTTGGGGAGCTTGAGTGGGATGATAGTCTTCCCGGGCCAATTGTTCATTCCAAGAGAGGTTTGTGGAAGGTGTTTATTTTTCGAGTGGTGGTGGAGGGGGAAGGGCGGGAGGAGTTGGAGGTTACGATTGATCCGAAGGAGCATCAGGGTTATCTGTGGGTTACGGAAGAGGAGGCTAGGAGGGATATGTGTGGGGATATGAAGTTGGATTGGGTGTCGTTGGATCTGAAGAAGATAGTTTTAGAGGCTTTGGAGTGTTGTAGAGATGGTGCTTAGAGGTCTTGCTGACTGTGGGTTTTATTTAGCTGGGATGGGTTGTTTGCAGGACGTATACACCGTTGTATTTAGTCTGAATTTTGCGTGTGAGTCCGCAAACTGTGGCCAGCGTCTCAGGTCTGTCCTTATGCGAGTCTGTACATTGGGACAAGAGGCGTTTAGAGTGCCTCTATGTCAGAGCTTGAGAAATACGACTTGAGCAATGCCCTTATATAATGCTAGGCCTCTCCAGGAACCTAAACGTACAGTGTCCCCATCACGGCTTTGCGCTTACCTTAAGGCCAGCCAAGCAGGAATATCGGATGCATGGTCGATGATCTCCTGTTTACAGGGGTGCAGTAGATTGTTCTTCTCCAAGATCCCACGCCATAGTAATTCCTCACCGACCTTTGTTGAAGAGCTGCTAATAGCTTCTCATATTACTTCCTTCGTTGTATTACACACATCCAAATGAGTAGGCTAAAGCCCAAAGCAAGACACTCTTTCATTACACTAAGCGCGAAATCAACCTAGAGTCAGTTTAGCATGGAGAAACAGGTCTTAGAGTACTGATCTCCGTTAATCCTCTACGCACCGATGAGGAGATATATTGTACATGTATACCGTATACAATTAGAGCCCTTGTATGTAGGTTTAATTTCGATGCAAACCATTCGTAAGGCACAAACAGTTCATGCACTGTAATTATAGCTTGCTGGAGGAGCGGAAGTACGTAGATATTGACCAATAATATCGCATATCCAGCTTGCTGCTATTCAGTCCTGCAACCCAGTATCTTGGTTATTAGTACTCTACTGAGACCACCTACCTCGTGTGCTCGAACACTGCAATTTTAGCTTCCTGGAGGGGTTGATATCAGCATGAATGTGTACTCAGCCCAGTGCCACACTTCCTGGCTTGTGGTCATGCCCAGTCCACCGACATCTGTACTTCAAGTCAAGAACCCACAAGAGGACCTTTCTACTCGATTCATTAAGCACTGATCTAGGATTCTAGGCTACATTCAATAGATGTTCTGATCCCTAGTCACGCGAACTGAAGAAACGATGCTCTGCAGCTGTTCTTGCCGTAATATTAGAGCACAGGATAGACTTGGCACTATGTTGGCATCCAAATGATCTGATTCTAGGCAAAAGTTTGCCTTCCTAGCCTCCTGTCTCTTTAAGACATGTTACGCTACATGTTTCAGAAATGTACGGTGCAGCCTCAGCTTTGGGACCGTGTCCAATACACATGCAGGATCATTCGTGCTTTGGATCTGTTGTGGGTCTGCAAACAGAACCCTCGGTTCACTGCAGTTTGGGAGCCCTGAAGGACGTAGGGCGAAGCATCCTGCCGAACTCGCTCTAGCTAGATCTCCCTTTGTCCGCCAATAATCCCGGAACACTACATTTTTAGTCTCAGGGAGTGTTTGGGTGTTTGGACAAACGGCATTCTAAGCCCCACGAGTCAGCCCTAGCTCAGCCTTGTCTTCAGCAAACGAGGTCAGTGCATTTCGTATATGTAAGCCTTGCCACCCTTTCTATTTCATGTCCTGATGGGATAATAGATCTTTACTAGCATAGCCTGATAACCTGAAAATAGTCAAAGTCTCTTTGTCATAAACCTCGATAGAACATGTCACTCAGAAGTCTTCTAAACCCGGTGGACGATGAGGAAGACACCCTGTGAAGGAGACTCACGTCGTGTTCGTCCACGGCTCGCAGAACCTGATGACTGGTACTGAAATTCCCAATGCGTCATTTTATAGCACGACATTAGTATTAATGGGACTAGGGCTCTAAATTCAACAGGGAGCCACCTCGACCCGACCACATATCCACCAGATATACCTTTCCCTCATTCCTCCGTTGGTCAGGATATAATATTCGGGAATCAGTTCGAGCCTTTAACGGAGCTAGATCCCATTTCCTTTGACCAAGACTCTTTTTTGCAGCCAATTCCTGATGACATCGGGCTAAGTGGCACATCTATGATATCAACTCCTAATGTAGAGTCTAGTGAAGGGCAAGGTGAGTCTCAGCAGCTCGATGGTTGATAATTCTCCCAACAGACACGGGGAGCAGATCTGCTATGGGATGGTCGGTGGTACCCTCCTTGATATAGTATCAGATAATAACGTGGTACGTAGCTCATCCATGAGAAGGTCAAACTAGTTGGGAAAGGCCAAGAACTAGAAAAGAAAGTAGGAGAGCTTAAGAAGAATAACCGCCCAATTCAAGTCCTCCGTATACGACAATCCATTGGCCAGCCGCTCTTTCTCAAGTTCCCTGACGGCATGGATCTGGGATATTTGTCCCAAAAGATGGAGCAGGTGTTGCAGAAACTGATGGAACTGCCCTTATTTGAGATTGACGCTATCACAAACCTCAACGCTCTCAGTGAAGCTTTGCGTCGTGCCGGGAAACCAGCAGATGCGGCCATTCGCGTGAATATCAATGTTTATGGACAGAATTCTGACAGCGACAGGGTAGGGCGCGGCCTTTCAAAGAAAGGTCTCCTCCAGCACCCGGATGGCTTCCGTGAAGAGGTCATATATCATAATCCACAACTTCTGCGACTATCTGGAATGGATGACACAGATACTGAGGAAGAAGAGGAAGCCGCTGAAGTGGAGGTATTGGATACTCCCCCTGAACGCGACGAGGACTTCGAGGAGACCATTGCGGAGGTCTTTAACTCATTGAGACGAAGAGATCATCTGACTCGGCTGGAAGGGAGTGAAACGCTTAACGGAGCCTTATACCCGTCAGTCATTTACTGCTGTGTGCTGTTTATGGCATTCACTCAATACTAACCTATGCTAACCTATGCTAACCACTAGGCACCAAGGAGAAGCCTTGGACTTCATGTTACAGCGAGATACTGGCCTTATTTCAGACGAATACCGGCTGTGGCAGCCAAAGTCTGCGGGCCGGGAGCGACTGTAAGCCAAATCCTCATATAACTAGCGAACACATGCTCACTTGGCCTAGATATTATCATGTTATCACCGGTAATGAACAGGGGGCACAACCCGACGAGAGTGGTGGAGGGATTCTTGCTGATGAGATGGGCATGGGAAAGTCCCAGACTACCCTAGTAGTGATAGCGAAGACGCTCAAAGACGCACGTCAGTGGGCCGATAATAAGAAAGCCTTTCCAGGAGCTTCCCTGGCTGAGACGCCTACTCGGGCGACGTTGGTTATTGTTCCCTCGCGCGGTAAAAGTCTTGTCTACACTGCTAGATCATAGGACGGAATAAGCTAACTTCCGTAGTGTTGATTAACACTTAAGTGAGGGAGATTGACGGGTAATAACACTCTTCCCTCCATCACAACAGTACTCATTCTTCGAGGACGTTAACAATTTCACAGGCACCTAAATGCTGGCATGAAAATAATGAAATACCATGGACGATCGCGGGAGGCTTTGATTGACTGTATTGATCGATATGATATCATTATCACCACGTATAACATATAACACCCTTGCAAAGGACCATGATGCGAAAATTCTTGGAAAGGGCCAGAGCAAACTGCATGGCTTTGCGTGGTATCGACTCGTTCTGGATGAAGTTCAGCCAGTCATGGACATCTTAGTAGGCTATCAGGAGGCGATGCTAATCCGATACAGCCCACATGATCCACCGTCGAAGCACAACGTTCCACAGGGCTGTGGTCGAGCTGACAGCCAAATCACGCTGGTGCCTCTCAGGAACTCCCATTCAGAATAGCTTGACCAATCTGGGCTCGCTGTTGGCCTTTATACAACTCAAGCCTTTCCACGATCCGAGAAACTTTGGTCACTGGATAGCCAATCCGTTCGGCGCCAGGGAAACCAAGCGGAAAGCCATTGAAAGGCTCACACTCCTTCTAGAGGCCATCTGTCTCCGACGGACGATAGAAATGGTTGACCTGCCCGGTCAGAGACTGGAATCACGCACTATCCAATTTACCCCTCAAGAACGTGCTAAGTATGAGCTTACAAGACATGGGACGTTTCATTATTCAGCAAGCTGGAGAATACAATCAGCGAGCAGCGACGTTCGGCATGTTCCAGATCTTTCTGCAGCTTAGAAGCTTCTGCAATCTCGGGACATACCAGCCCCGGTTCTCGTGGGCTAGAAGGAGCTTGCTCGAGGATGAATCTAATCCTGTCTGCTCAATCGCACGGAATAGTTTGAACCGCTGCTTGGGTTGCCGACAACCCTGGCCAGTGATAATGCAGGACAGACGACCCAAGTATTAGAAAATTGTAAGCATGTTCTATGCGATGACTGCTCCCAGGGCAGCGACAATAAGTTGGATCTCAAGGAGAGGCGCCACTGCCGGCTTTGTGAGTCCCTTAAAGGGCCACGCTTCCGTGCTTATGGAACTTCCGAGACAAGTCAAAGGGATGGAAACGGGGCCGATGATCTAGAAGCAGACGGTTACTCATCCAAAATGAGAGCACTTATTTCCGACGTGCAAAGGTATATGGAGTCAACGAAAAGGTATCGACGATCATAACAACACTTTCGGCTCGCTGACAGTCAGATAGTATCATATTCTCATGCTGGACACGAACGCTCGATCTCATTGCAAGGCACCTGAAAGCTTCGAATATAGACATTGAGCGTATTGATGGGAAAACATCGACATCCCAGCGTCAAAAGATTCTCGACAAGTTTGATGGCACTAAGACCGCCCCCGTCTTAATTATGACAACAGGCACAGGGGCATTTGGGTATGGATACGCGTTTGGCGCTTATTGATATGATGATTATCAGACTGAAACAAAGCAGGTTAAACCTACAACCGTCAATCGGGTCTTCATCGTCGAGCCGCAATGGAATCCCAGTGTCGAGAGCCAGGCCATAGCACGAGCAATTCGCCTTGGCCAGGAGCAGTAGGTCTTGGTCACTCGCTACCGCGTTGAGAACAGTATTGAAGAGGTCAATCGAAACCCTTTTATTGGGCTTTAGTCCTTTCAACTCGTATCATGAGCTCATACTGCCTTTCTCACAGGACATGTGCTCTCAGTAAATGCGCAAACTGAAGATAGGCCAAATGGACTTCAAAAAGGATTTGCTTTTTCTTCAGAAAGAGGCCTCCGATATTGCTTCAGAAGTCGGATGAGAGGTATACCTGTGGACGTGGTCACTGCGCATCACCCTTCAGCATCAAAGCACATCGTTAGCCAGGCACCGCTCGATGGATGAATGTGTATTACCTGTTAGTATCGAATCTACATTGCTGGACACATTAAGTGATACACTTCAATTTCATATTCTCGCTATGATACACACGCAGTAAAATATAACCCCCAGCCCGACAAACCTACGCCAGGTCCAGTCAAACCAGGGTATCTGATCGATTAAGCATCTCAGATGATAACATAGAAGCAATAGAACAATGCAACAATGTTCATTCCCATCCCTCAATTCTACACTACCAAGCGTTCACATCAAAGTTCTCCTAGGCGACTGTTAGATGGAGACGGAGACAAGTCAGGGAGACAGAGACTCACCTCGGAGAAGTAGGTCGTCACTACGGTCCTATCAGAGAATTTCCTGCCCGCAAGCGCCTTCAGCGCGTTTGTTGTCGATTCCACCGAGTCGAACTTGACAAAAATCTTGCCAACACCGGGAGACTGCCTGCTGCCGCCGGAAGGGCGGGGAATCTTTAATTCAAGCACCTGGCCATACTTGGAACACTCGTCGCGCACATCGTCGCAAATTTCTGTCTAAGTTAGCAAATGGCAATACCAGCGTAGGGAAGGTACATACCTTCGTAATCATCCCCGTCCATCAGTTCCTCTGGCGTCACCATGTTCAGCAGCTGCAGCACACGGCTGGTCTCCAGATCCTGAGATGTGGTCTTAGCAAACATGGACATGGCATTAACACCCATATCAAGTCCGGCGGCTTGCGTCGTTCCAATACTGGCGCGCGCAACCTTGAGGTGCCTGTCACCCAGCTCCATGCCGTTGAGTCCCTCTACGGCGATGCTCGTAGCGTTCGGATCAGCATACTCGCAGAATGCGATTCCCTAGCTGAGTCAGTCTTAGCCTATAATTGGTCGTACCATAGAGCTTACCCGGGACTCCTCTGTAGAGCTATCCTTAACCAAAACAAAAGACTTCAGCTCCCCGAATGACTTTAGAAGCATCGTAACAGGCTCCTCCGGAATATAATGAGGAATGTTGGACACACAAATCTTATTAGGCGAGTCGGGAACTTCGTTCAGCAACACACCCTCCTGGTATTCCTGCTCACTGACGCTGGGAAGGATATAATCTTTGGGTCGTCGCACTTCAAGCCCTGTGGGCGCCCCGTTCGCCGCTCCATTTCCGGCAGCTTCATGTTCGTCCATTGTGATTCCATCGAAAGCAAGCGCAACGGTAGTGTCGTTGGGCGTCTTAAATTCAAGGAGCGCAAAAGAATGATCTTCGGATACTTGGGCAGAGATACAAGGATCCACGCTGTGGACAACATTAAGACCGTTGAGCTGAACGTTAAAGAAAGACAGCAAGCTCTCTCCCGTGGCAGTCGGAGGGAGATTATAGACGAACAAACGCTTGGCCTGGCGAGAATTGGATGGTTTCAAGGAGGCGCTCTCTGCGGTTCCAGCACCGGGCTGGCTCATGAAAGCCTGCAAACGACTAGGATCCATCGGTTGCTGTCTTGGGGCACCGGGAAGAGGGAACATGCCTGCGAAGTAAGTAATCCTTCTCCATTCAACACAACTCAATAACGCATAAAGAAATCTCACCTGACAACTTGGCCTGCTCCGCAGTCACATTCTCGTAACCAGGAGGCTTGATATCCCACTGCGTTAGACGACGTTTACGTTGCAAGACCGACAGTACTTCTGTCAAATCGGGCGTCGCTTCCCTCTTCCGAGGTGGCGACGCACTCCTCCGCCTCTCTCTCCTGTCGCCGCCGCTGCTGCCGCCGCCGGCGCCGCGCTCACGCTCGCGGTCGCGATCTCTACCGTCTCGTCTAGGTCTTTCCTCGAACAAGTCACCTCGTTCCCGATCGCGTCGAGACGACCGGTCATCATAATCTCTGCGTCGGCGATCGCCACGGTCGCCACGGTCGCCACGATCCCCACGTTCGCCGCGGTCTCGATCCCATTCGCGATCATCCCTCCGGCTGGAGTAGCGGTCCTCTCGTTCTCTGGCGCGATAGTCACGGCTCGACGAGTACGTATCTACTTCATATTCGCGTCGGGAACCTCTAGAGCTGTAATGGGGGGATCTCGAACGTCTTCTGTCTCCTCCTCTATCTCCTCTATCTCCTCTATCCCCGCGCTCTCGCCGCTCGTCGCGCTATTGGTGGCTTCATTAGTACGAAGTGAAAGCAACAACATGACAATCATGAAGGACTCACGTAGTAGTCCCTGGACCGACCAGAGTCTGCGACCATAATAATTAGATGACCATTCATAAACCACGAAGCAGTAGAAGTGCAAAACATTGCAGTTACCAACCTCTGGACGAATAAGTATCGCCGTTCATAATGAGCTCAGAAATCTTTGCTCCGTGATTTTACTTTCCGGTGATAAACAAACAAAAAGAAACACCCTTCGAATTCAAGGTGTAGACAAATAGAAGGGCAACAAGGCAGATGACCACCAATGCAAGATGGCAGGAGAGGATGCTTTTAAGACGGAGCTGCGCTGAGGAAAACTCCAAGTCGTGACGATCGGCGAGCAGCCGCGGCGTCTAGTGTCCATGCGGTTAGCGCGTGTGTCTGTATATCCCACCGCCTGCTGCATTGGACCCCGACCGGCAGAATCTTTTATCTTCAACTGATATGAGATGAACTTGACCATATCTTCTGGTCTCCAATTGATCCATCACACTGATCATGACAGTAGGAGCCTTCTCAGAATGGCGCAGACTACGCGTTAGTCTCAGCGAACTATGCATTAGCACTACCCTCCGTTGTGGCCAGTCATTCCGGTGAGCGTCCCCCCCCCTTTTCCTCTCTCTTCTCTCCCTATATAAAACCCGGCACATCCACTGACAGACCTAGATGGCACAATGTGCCCGACAGCGATGAATGGAGATGCGTTCTCCACGGTCGCCTACTATCCCTTCGCCAAGACCCAACAAACCTTTACTACAGGATCTATCTCCCTCCGAAACACTCCAATTCCATCCCACTCCCAACACCACCTGCATCCCATCCCTCCTCTCGCGCTGAACCGCATCCCGATCAAGATGACATCCTCCCTATCCTCACCCACTACTTCAACCTCTCCTCCAACCTAACATCCCTCTACTCCCAATGGTCCTCCACGGACCCAAATTTCAAAAAGAAAGCCCCCCAATTCACCGGAATCCGCATCCTGCGCCAAGACGCCTGGGAAGCCCTGGTCTCCTTCATCTGCAGCAGCAATAATAACATCGCGCGCATCTCCCAGATGGTCGAGAAGCTATGCGCAAACTACGGGCCCTTCATCGCCTCCATTGACGGCCGCGCGTATCACGATTTCCCGCCTCCCGACGCCCTAACCGGTGACGATGTGGAGAGCAAGCTGCGGAGTCTGGGTTTCGGATACCGTGCCAAATACATTTACCAAACGGCACTGATCGTCTCCACTCAGCGCGAAAAGGGATGGTTAGATTCCTTGCGGAACCCCGAGAGTCCTGCGTTGGGGGTTGAGGCTGCGCCGGGTGGGGAGATGAGACCTGAAGGCCGAGAGGGGTATCGCGAGGCGCATGAGAAGCTACTCGAGTTGCAGGGCGTCGGGCCCAAGGTTGCGGATTGTGTTTCTTTGATGGGGCTGGGTTGGGGGGAGGCCGTTCCGGTTGATACCCATGGTATGTATCTCCTCGTCTTTATCGGATATGTACGTTGCAGACAGAATGCTAATTGGATTTTTATCGGGTAGTTTGGCAAATCGCCCAGCGAGATTACAAGTTTGGTAAAGGGGCCCATAAATCGTTGACGAAAGCTACGTATGACGCTGTGGGTAACCATTTCCGCAAGCTCTGGGGGAAGGAGGCTGGCTGGGCGCATAGTGTTTTGTTTACGGCTGACCTCAAGACATTTTCGGATCGACTGATTGCCTCAAAGAAGACGGAAGTGGAAGTCGAGGTAAAGGACGAGCCAGATGTGAAGGGCGAGGAAGAGCTTATCACACAAGTCACTATCGCCACGGCGGTGGGTGTGAAGAGGTCTGCAAGCGAAAGCAAGGTAAAGACAGAGCCTAGTGATGAAAAGGGTGTGAAGGCCATTGTTGAAGCACACACGGCGACAAGACGAATGTCGAAGCGGCTTCGGAACCGCTAATCATTTTGCTGTGTTAATTTTGTAGATAGCGTTGAATGTACAGTACAGAACATATTACTTGGGCTGGGAATGCTATATCTTTCATGCATCGTAGACATTCTAGAAGGCATCATACGAGGCTGTTCCCCAGCGATCACACAATATATATATATAACCTTGAGGGACATCTCAAAATATCAATTAGGTCAGTGATTTGAATAATCCAACCCCAGTTTTTTCTCTTAGATCGACAGAGACATAAAAGCGTATTCGATACGCTTGAAGTGCATTGAAAAGGATACGTCGCGGTGCTTCACCACAAACACCAGAAACCTGTCATAATAGGGATATCATGATAATATTCTCTATCTAAAGCAGGAAGTTCGGTGTAAACCATGCTAGTCAGGTCTACAGCCCAAGGCCATCAGCAATCTTGTGCTATGATAGAGAATATTATCATGATATCCCTCATAAATTCGTACAGCGTTGAATGGCAGCGTGCATATTTTCCAATCCCTACCAAGCCTGGGATAACCACTTTGGTTCCAAGGTAGCAGAATGCTTATTAGTGGCCCATTTGACTCATAGACATGGTAGCTCTTTTAGCTTGCAGGAGGAGACAGATCGGCATTACCAAGGCTGAAGGTAGGGCTCGTCGCAAGAGTTACTTCTTCAATACTCCCTATCTCTTAGTCTTTAAGAACTAGCTTTCCGTCAGCCAGAAGAGGTGTCCCCTAGCGACCCCTTGCTTGACGACCTCTAGGTTCTTAAAGCAGTTATGCTTCTGACCACGGATAATTGGTCCATTAACCATGCCGGGGATTGTAAACAGAGTGAATATCGTGAGTTGCCATGCCAGTTTTACGAGGTTCCACGAGTTTTCAAGGCTGCTTCAGTTCGACGAGTCACTTTACCACCCTGGCTGTCATATATATTGATTTTGATTCATGAAGGCTAATAACCGAAGGCTGCTGGAACCCTCGAGAGCTTCAACTGATTGAGGAACAAGCTTTATTAAAAGGTCGATGGTGTTGATGCATAGTATTAGATATGCATAGTATTAGATGTGCATAGTATTAGATGTGCTATGTCATGGGAATGCGATTATGCGACAAGCATCTAACAAAATAATAGACAAATTCTATTATGTCTATTCCAGTGCAGATTCGATATTTCCTCGACGCAGACCTCATGTGCGTTTAATTCTCATACATCCACTCCAAATGTTCTTCGAATCCCCCAGTATATGTACAACTAGAAAAGCCAGTCATCGAATGTCTTGCTGGTTGGGAAAGAAACGCCCTACGACGTACTTTCAAGAATATATTCGAGGTTTTCGTGGGTCAGGGATTCTCTGGCGAAATGAGTTAATGTAGAGCCACGACTGTCTTTAGTGTGTCAACGTCACAAGTCTACTAATACAGCGGCTCTGTTCAAGTTCACGTAGCCTCCTCATGAACTGTCATGGTTGATCAATTAGAGCTACCTCTGCGGGAGTCATTCGTCTCATCGAGAAAGCAATGCTTCTCCACAGATAAGTTCCAAGCAGATACACGTATGACTCTCTGTACCAAAAGATCGGCCAAAGACATCAGGGACTGGCGCTTCATCGCTGAAGCGCCGTTGAATAGCCCAAATGCAGTGTCTCTGCAGCCTAAAACACAACCCAGTGTCGAGCTACCGATTGAATTTGTTACATGCAGCAAGGCCTAGAAAGTAATTTTCACGTCATGAGACAAAGCTCTCGCTTACACTAGTATTGAACCTGTTCCTGTAAGTCAAAAGAACGATGAGTCCCTTCTTTCAATTTCCTCTTTGATGATATCGTGTGGCGAAAGCGATGGCATTCTTCGTTCAGGTCACGGAGCATCGAGCGCTATGACCCTCCGAGAGCTCTTCGACAGCTCTAGGGCAGAGCTTGGAAGGTCAAAGCCTGATCATAGCTCCAAAGCATAACGGCCTGATGACTTCAAACGGGTCAGCTCATCAACAACGACTCGGGATAGCCGAAGCCTCAAGATTTCCTGCAGATGCCATCGACTTTCTTTGTCTTTGAAACACCCGGATATGCTCCTCTCTTTCCCTTCCATCCCAATAGGAGATTATCCCCAAACTCAATAGGAGCCGCCCACTCCCATAACCCAAAGCAGCAAATGCCTTGCTTAGGGCAGGGTCAGGTGACCAGACAACCGTGCTTATCGAACAGTAAAACTTCCATAGAGTCGCTAACAACAAAGAGAAATACACCTCAATAGAACTGGCAATTATGATTAATACTAAGAAGAAAAAGAATACCAATAATACTAACAATACTAATACTAATACTACTACTACTAGTAATAATAATAATAATAATATTGATCGGTAATGGCCGACAAACAATGGCCGTGCGACATGTGAATCCAACCCTGAACCCTCGGCCCAAGCTCGTAGGGACGAACCTGAACAGACAGGCGGATATCACACCCTCCTCCTTCTCCTTCACCAACCGGGTCAGATACGGACATCAAGACAGAGAGATAGACGACGACGGTACACAGTGGCTTTTGTACTTACCGTACATGCATGTATGGATGTATGTATGGATGTATGTATGGATGTATGTTCGTATATACCCCATACGTATGTTCCACACACCAGCGTGACTGACTATCGAACATACACTTCAATAGTCTACCCAAGCTACATACACCTATAGTGATACTATCTATCCCAATCCCACACATATCAACAAACAATCAATAACACCGTCCCCTAAGGCCCAGGATCAATCCAACTGTCCACCCCCGCAAACCCACAACCCCAGATCATGCCATCGATCTGATACCGATCAGACCATCGATTCGATTCCACCTAGACTACCCCACGGGGCAAGCGTCAAGCGTCGTAATCACGATCTTTAAAAAAAAAATAAAAAAATAAAAATAAAAATAAAAAAAAGAAAAGTTGTCCCACCGAACGTCCAAATCAAATAAATGTCTCACTAGATGAAAAAGCCGTCTCCACCTCCCCTCCATAATCCTTCAACAGAGCGTGACTCCATAGCCCCCGGTACATCCATCACTCCGTCCCCACCCTCCCCAATTCCCCCAATCCGGCAGTAGGTCATAGACTACTCCGTAGTGTAAACGGTTCTCCGAGCGGAGAACATGGGAAAACCAACCCGTCGATCAACCCTGGACCGCGGGTGAGATGCCATTCTAGAAGAACATGGTGTCCGGCTCGCAGGGATCGTCGGCAGAACTGGGGGGACCTTGGGTCCTTGACATGTGATTCTTGGTGGATGCAGGAACGCTATTAAAGGTTAAATTTAGGCCCCCGGGGAAAGTTGATTGGGTAAGGGTACGTGGGTGTGGGGTGTCTTGAAGGGTTGTGGTAATATGGTAGATTATACAGGGCCTGGGATTATAATTATCCCTCTTTTTTTTTTTTTTTTATTTTTGGTCTGGGTTTTGTAAACTTTGGGTGAAGAAGCTCAGGGTTTGGGATGGTCAAGTGAGCGGAGCGGGTGTGGCTCCGGAACCTTAACTGGGACTTATTCCTTTGGTACCGACGGAGGAAGAGGTTGGGGAATAACTTCTCCAGATCATGATTTTGAGGAATTACCGAAATGCGGGGGGAATGGAGTCGGAGGCTTTACCTAGGATGTGCCTTAGTTCGCTATTGTTCGACTTCTGCGGGTGTTTGTGTTTCGGGTTTACTTGGTTCCAGGGAATTAGGGCATCGTGAACCACGTATGGGTCATCTTCCATTATCGTTCGAGATGGGTCGCTAATATAGACATGAAGTAATATGTGTAGAATAATAATATTAATATAAATAAAAATAAAAAGAAACAGAACAGATAGGGTATACAGATCATGCATCATACATTGTACAGGACTTTTTCGTTGGTGAAAACGAAGAAAAAATGAATGGGGGGG